TCTTTAGATTCAGCAGCACCTTGGACCCAAAGGATACTAAATCTCCTGGGCTGAGGGTATTCCCTATATTATTTATTGCATGAACATTAGACTAGGTTAGTGCTTGAAAAATCATTTAAGATTTGACCAGATTAAAAAAAGAAAACCAACACAGGAAAGTTAGAGAGGAGCCAAAAAGAGACTGCAATTAGAGGTAAATACCTTTCAGGGTGGTTTTTTTGTTTGGTTTGGGGGGGTTTTTGGTATTTTTTAATTATTATTTGGCTGTCACGTTACATTCCAGAAATCACAGTTCAAAATTTAGTTTACAGAGCAGGTCAGAGTCTGATGAAATGGTGTGGCAGCATCTTTCACTGTGTGAGGGAACCTCACTGTAGGTATCTGTTTCCTTTCCCTGGAGTGGCAGCGCCTGGATATCAATACTTGCACTCCCAGATTTTTGGCAAAGTGCAGAGAGGGTGTCTTTAAAAGGCATGGAGAAAACTGCCTCCTGTCTTTCTAAAAAGAGAAAGCAAGAGCTGATGGGTTGCAGAGAAGCACAACCCAGGAGTGAGTTCCCCATCAGTGCAGGAAGGAGCTCAAGCCAGTCCTGAACTGCAGAGCCCTTGTTATGACCTTGCTGGCTGCTTGTGTCAGTCATATAAAACGAGATATTAAATTATTGAAAGTGAAGAGTTGACACTGTCCATCACAGACTGCAGCAGGAGATTAAACCACTTTCTAGCTGGGAAGGGACTTTTGCCCTGCCCTGGCAGTGACAGGCACTGGGGTTCTCACAGGGAAACAGTTTCCTTGGAAATTCCAGCTTTGTGTGAGGTAAGATACTGCAGAAGGAGAGGGGTGTGAAAATAGAGCTCAGGTAGTTCTGTAAATTTAATTATGGGGAGAAATGTGATTAAATGGCTAAACCATGGGGACTCTAAGGGAAATGATGGGAAGATAAATAGAGAAGGAACAGCATTATTACAAAGGGAGTGTAATCAATACAGTTTGGATTTTATTGCATCAGGGTAAGGAATATTGCTGTGTCCCAGCACAGAGGGATGGTACTGGAAAGCATGGAATCAGAAAAGGAAGCTCACCTGCTTATCAATATTTGTGTTAATCCCCCCTCCCCTGTAGGAGCAGACATGCCATCTTTAACAGCTGCAGGGAGGGCCATAAAAATGGGATTAGACTGGCATAACAGCAACTCCTGACCCGAAGTCTGAGGATAAATGAGCTGAAAGGAAGGTATAAATGCCTGAATTAGGGACTTGAAGGACCAGGACATCTCTTCTCTCCTTTTTCCCATTCCTTCCCAGCAAGTGGCTTCCCACTAATTCCCTGAGAGGGTTTTCCTGCTGCAGCCAGGGCTGGTGGAGTCACTCCTGTGGCCCATCCCAGTGTTCCCAGGGATGGGCAGGAGGGAGCCCCATCCTCTGCCTGTGCCTGTGCTCTGCAGCCACCAGCTTTTCTCACACCACCAAAACCTGCTGGAATTCCGCCTGGCATCTTTGCACACGGCCTTATTTATACTCTTGTTTATTTTTGTGCATGCAGAAAATAATCTGTGTGAGTGCCTGCATAGGATTTTTGTGTCGTTGTTAGGAGTATTTTTTAGTGGTTGGGATGGTTCTCTGGTTTTTTTTAAGTTCAGAGAACTGCCTGATAAAAGAAAAACAAACTGAACAAAGGAGCCAAGTACAGAAATTTACTGTTTCTTTTAAAATTCAGGACTAATAAACCCACAGTGGACATCTCACCTGTTGTTATTTTGTCAAAAATATCCTTTACAAATGCTGCCATGTCAATATTCAGAGCAGTTGAATTAAAGAAATAAGTGTTTTGGCTCAGCATGCAGGAGCTGTTAGTCTTTGTAACACTTAGAGGTTTTCAGACCTGGCAGTCCAGTGATGGAAATGGCTTGTGTTTCTCAGAGATTCGTGATGTAGCTCATTTTTCCTCCAGGGCAGAAAATGCTGTCTACATTAAATGGGTTTGTTGGGAGGTTGGGTTGCTGTAGCTCATTCCCTGTCTTTGCTTCCCAGAACCACCTCTGGAAAAAGCAGAATTTGAGGATAAAGCCTGCCAGAGTACAGATTTGCTATCAGCCACTTCGAGGTTGTGTTTCAACACTTATTTTGAATAAATATAGGGGAGTAAAAGGTTGAGCTTGGCCTTTAGAAATAACACCCCAAGCACCTCATAGCACTTTCTTCCTTGCCGTGTCCTGAGTTACTTGGTTGCACAGCAACACGCACCGAAAGTTGCATTTTCAAATAAAATATCAGCTCCTCTGCTTATTCCCTTCTTATTGTCACCTTACTTCATTGATGTAAACGTGCAGCACGGTGCTGTGGGTGTTCTTCCATACTCCATACACCACTTGTGTGGAAAATGTCCCTGTTGGTTGTACTAATTCCCTGGGGTGTGCAGAAGGAGGAAGAATACTCTTCCCAAATAATACATCTTGGTTTACCCCATTACAGCTCTACTCCATTAATGACTCCTTTTTATACCGGAATATTTCAGACTCAGCGTAGGAGTTGCTTTGTGAAGTGTCACAGAGTCCCAAGGAATACTGAAGCAAATTTAATTCTCCTATCATAAGGATTTAATAACAAACAAAGCATTAGTTAGGCCATGTTGGTAAAGTTGAAAGGTTTTTACACCTCTTCATTTTCCAAAACTTTGAAAAAATAACCTTTTTTTTCCTTCTTTGCTCTCCTGTTGGCTCCACACAAAACCTGTGCTGTGATTCTGCAGGATATTGGCTTTTCTCTGTCCCATTTCAAATGACCCCTTTTGAGTATCACTCCTTATGCAGGGATGTGATGGGGCTGGGGAGCATGAGAAAGGAATAAAGAGATTTTTAGAGTCCTTGCTGCCAAACCCAACCCTTTCAGCTGACTTCAAAGCCTGGGGGGCAGAGTGGGTGCTGTCAATGTGGCCATGGGCTGGTGTGTTTGCCAGGGAAGGAGAGGACAGGGTGGTGGATTCTGCTTTCCCAAACCCATTTTTAATGTCTGGTTTGCTGTGGCCTTTTCCCTTTGTCCTCAGTGTGGAGCTCAACCTGGAGGTAATTTTACTGCATGCAGCAGATTGACAAAATAATTCTGCTGCACAGCACAGTAAGACATAAAAAGTGCCTTTTCAAAAATACAATAAACAAAGAAAAGATGTTTGTTTAGAAAAAAAAAAAAAGGAGGAGTAATAGGAGCAGAGAAGTAATCCTGTTGCTTTAAGGTAGCTTTTAAAAATAGAAGTAGTAAGTTATTGCTTCAGCTTTTGCCACACTAAACATATAATTGTAAGCTGATTGTGGTGAATTCCTCACTCGGCAGCCCCCATCGATGGAAGTTTGAAGGACAGGGCCTGACATCTGGAAGCCAGCAGCAGCTCAGGATTTTATTAAGCAGCACTGCCAAATAAAATCCAGGCACTACAATAAATGATTTAAAAATGAAGATTGACTGTGGGGCAGCATCTCAAAGATGGAGCGAGCGAGATGGAGTTCGGGGCACTGTGTGGGAGCACCAGGGCTTTCCCCTCAGCTTTGGAGCCTGAGGGGGACATGGTGGATGTGGCTGTGGGTTTCTGTGGTGGTTGGAGTGCTCAGGAGTTGGAAGATATGACTGGAATGGACGGAGAAACTGCAAAATTGCTGTCGGTGTGCCTGGCTTCCATTTATTGGAAAGGTTACGGCCGAGGGCTGGTTGGTGTTGTGCATTACAGAGCTAACCCGAGGTTTATAGAATATGATTTTGCGTCTGTGAAGAAGGTTGTGAGAGAGTGAGTGACCTTATCACCCAGAGCAGAAACCTGCCCTCTTCCCCAGGCTGCAGCTGGCCATATTTATTTGCAGCGTTCACCCCGTGGACAGAGGCAGTCGAGTGCGGTCGATGGTGTGACAGTCGGGTCTGGCTGTAACGGGGTGACAAGTGTCAGGGCAGGGAGGAGACACAGAGCTGACCCCCATGGGAGCCAGCAGCCATCCCCTGAGCCAGGGGCAGCATCCCGAGGGACACTGGGATCTGGCAGCGCAGAAGAACGAGCCTTTCCCCTTCTGCACGCTGCTGACCCCCACGCTTTTCAGGGCACGTCGGTGCCTTTCAGCGCTGAGCAGGAGATTGCCCATCCAGTGGCAATAAAATGAACTCCTCTGAATTCAGAAAGCAGTGATTAACAGCTCCTTCTTAGTCTTTGTGTCTAGAAATAACCCAGAACATCACAAGGCAAAGTTCAAGGAAGTAGAAGAAGTGATATGCTAAACAAAATCCCAAGCTTTCATTTTGCGAACAGGTTTTTGATACAGCTCAGCTTGATACAACCTGCTATTTACCAGCCTGGCCTTTAATATTGGATCTGCTTCCCAATTATGCTTCAATTCATACACCAGTTGCAGAGGGCGTGTGTGGGTGTACGTGCGAGAGAGGGAGATTGATTTTGTTCTTTAAAAATGTGAAGTCTGCACTAACTCTGAAAACCCATCAGAATTTCTAGCACTTAAATGCCATTTCCTTTCTCAGTGTGCTACCAGCACTAAGTGATGTTCACGACAACTCCCTGGCAAGTGGAGCAATGCATGCTGGTTTTCAGAAGGAGAATATTAATACAGATATCAGTGAAAACCAGGCTGCAGATCCTTTCCACAAGTAAAGGGTTAATGTGAGAGCTCAAATTACAACTTGGAAGCGAATACATAAGGTCTTAGCTGTGTTTTTCAGAAGCAGACGAGTGAAAATGGAATAAAGAAAGTACATTTCGGTCCTGGCTGTTGCTGTGTGTTTGAGTCATCCCTTGTGCCTGGGCAGCAGGTTTGGGTAACCCTACATGCCACCACTTCACACACAACATCTTTTTATATTTCTGGTTGTTCTTCCCAGCCTTTTCCTGTGTGCTGTATTCCCGAGCCTTGACAGTGCTTTGGGAGTCACTGTATTTCATATCTGAGAAGCCCAAAGGAGTGTTGTCTTTGTCTTTCTGCAGCTCTGACTGTTCATTTCTATTTTCTGCAGGTTTGAAGACCTATCTGATCTCAGGTCAGAAGGTAAGGGAGCCCCACTGCAGCTGCTCACAGGCATTGCTTCCTGGCTTGGAGTCCACAGAGGGAGCCAGGACACAGGGAGCATCCTCAGCTGAGAACTCCAGAGACTCCACCGAGCCTCTCAAACAGGTGGAGAAACCAAAGGTGAGTTCTGATCTCAAAGACCAGCAGCACAGACCTCAAAAACCAGGCAAACCAGGGATGGGGAAACCTTACAGGCTTGTTTATGCACTGCTTTACATATATGTGTGTGTGTGTATGTATTTGTTTATATACATGGAGTGACAAAACGTGGTTTGAGGGAGGAAAAAAATTACCAAGTAAAAATTCCTCTCACCAAATGACAGGCAATCCCTGAAGTAAGGTGAGCACTTTTTAAAGGTGGTTTCAAAGAAGTATTTCCTTTTATATTTCAGGACTGAGAGGTCAGTGCTGCTTTTTCCATGGTCTGGATTTTATGCAGGGGAAAAAGAACATGATTTATGCAGCTACTGTAACTTTTGTGATTTTCTGCTTTTGCTGCTCCTGCCATTCCTCTGTCATGCAGGTTGTGTACCTGTGAGCCTTTTTATGGGTATTTAACAGACATCCCTGCAGAAAGATAACGGGATTGTTTGTGTGGTGGGAGAAAATGCTCTGAGGGGCTGTGACATTGTTATATCTGTTTGCTCTAGAAACCTGTGTCTAGAGCTGAGGGCAAGGATTTGTATGGATTCAGCTCTGAGGAATGATGACACTTTGTTATGTTCACACCTCTCCCAAGATCTCTTGACAAGGAAATCTGTGAAACAATGTGTATTGCTTCAGAGCTGTGCTGTTACTCTCCATCCTTCAGCTCAGAACAGATTTCCCAAACAACAGATGTCTGTTCTCTCTTTTCACTCGGGCTAAGAATTCCTTATCCTGGGCTGCCTGAGCTGGGCACAAATGTCAGAACCAGGGTCCCTGTCCTTAGACTTCAGTGTGTTCAGTCCTGACTGGATCCCTTCAACACAAGTTTGAGATTGAGCTGGTGGAGTTCATGTGGGGATGATTTTTGTGCTACTCCATTTTTACTCCTTGTTTGTTTGTTGTCTGGATTAGGAGAGTGTGAGTAGGGCCCCTTTACCCTGCCTCTGCACGTGGGTTTATGTTTTGCAGTAAAGGCACTGCATTACAAGTGAGATCAGCTGCACTGTCCAAAGTCAAGTGAGCTCCTTAGAGAGCAAACCAGACCTGTTTAACTGCAGAAGGCAGCTGTAGCCAACTTTATCCCTCTACAAAATATGCACTGTCTGTGGTTTGACAGCATCCAAGTTGCTGGTGATACGTTTCTATTCCTTCTCCTGTGTAAGAAAGAATATATTTGGCACCCTGCAGGCACCAGCTTTCCATCTCCTTCTTACCTTTCAACGAAAGCACCAGCAAATAAGGCAGGAAAATACATCTTAGAGTTGGTGGGGAGCTGTCCAAATGAACCTGTGAGCACTGCCCAGTGCGTGGCCGTGCACGAGTCCAGGTGTGACAGCGAGGGTGGAAACTCCTTCATTTCAAGCAGTGAAGGAAGAATGTGCCAATTGGAGCAGCATTGCTGAGCTGTCTCTCTGGAGCAGAAGGGAAAGAGAAGGGCTGAAACAAAGCAGTGGAGCTGAGGGTGCTGTTCTGAGGGACAGTGAGGATGCCTTGGGAATGTCAGGCAGCAGAGGAGGCTGTGACTGAGGACCCTGAAACAACAGCAAAGTACAGGACTGACCAAGGTTGTTATATACAAACTTACAGTGGCACTTGTTAAAATGATCCAGGTCCAAAATGAAATGTGTTGTTAAGGATCAGCTCTGTGTTTGCAGGTACAGCTGCACCACTGTCCCTGAGCAGCTGATACGTGATGTGGAGCACATATGTGCCCCACCAGGCTTTGTTTGCTGCCTAGTCCCTGATTTTCTGCTCTGGGGCTGTTGCTTGGTGTTAATGGCTGTTTAGAGTATCCTCAGTTGGAAGGGGCCCACAAGGATCATCCAAGTGCAGCTCCTGGCTCTTGAAGTGTTTGAGTGCTGAGTGCTGGTCTGTGCAGTGCAGAAGTGCCAGCGTGACTATCTGAGTGAGGGAAGGAGAAGCTAAAAGAAGCTGCTAAGAGGAGCACCTCGGACAAGTGCCAGCTCGCTTTCAGCTGCCTTGGATACCCTGTTGTGCCACAGCTACTGCAGAGAGTTTGTCTGTATGGGTGCCTGGTTTTACTCATCACCCTGAGCCCTGCTCGTCTGGCCAGGGATTCCTTGAGCAGCCTCACAGTTCACTGACGCTGGAGTGAATTTGTGCTCTGAATTCTGTGAATTCCCTGGGGTCTGATAAGCATCTGTATGGTGGATGCCATGGAGTGGTGGAGCAATCCTGTGAGTGCTGAGCACGGGCTTAAAAATGTGTTCTGAGACTGTAGTTGCAGCCCAGGAGTGCAGAGTGTCTTTGCCTCTCACAGCATGGCCAGGTACAGATATTCCAGGCTCCACAGCACAAGGGTGGAGGTGCACCAGCCTTCTCTCTGCTGTTACAGTCACAGAGTCTTGGAATGGTTTGGGTTGGAAGGACCTTAAAACTCATCTCATTCCACCCCCCTGCCATGGGCAGGGACACCTTCCACCAGCCCAGGTTGCTCCAAGCCCCGTCCAACCTGACCTTGGACACTTCCAGGGCTGGGCAGCCACAGCTTCTCTGGGGAACCTGTGCCAGTGTTTTACTACTCCTGTTGTAAAAATCTTCTTCCCAATATCTAATCTCAATTTACCCTCTTTCAGTTTAAATAAATATGTGTATCAAAAAATGTCCACAAAGAACGACTGCAGTTTAATCACAGATCATGCACAATTTTTGAAAAGGAGTGGGTTTCTTTGGGGGTTTGTGTGCTGGTTTTTTTTAAAGCCTGCAGCTCACTGGTAGGGTCTGGAGATAATAATTTGCAAAAGAATCATGACTTATATGCGACTGTTTTAAATACAAAGCTGTAAACAGTGTCAGTGTAGGAGGAGATGACTCCAGCTCTGCAAAAGAGACTTAAACAGGAGGGGCAAAATTACAGGCAAGATGAAATATTTTTGCTTTAAAGGGAATAAGTGGCCATATTGGATGCCAAGGATGACTTTCACATTTGGGGCTTGAGCAAATGTCAAGGAAAGTCAGGAGGGAGAATGCAACAGTACTTGATCCATGAAAGGAATCGTGTTTCCTCCTCTGGTGTATCTGCAGTTCATTTAACTGCAAACTGCAGTAAGTGTAGATATCAATACAGTGCATGTATGTAATTAAAATGGTGAAGACAGAGGCTAAAACTATAATAAGTCTGTAATAGCAGCTGGTTTTTGAACGAAAACGCTGTAACCTGCTTAAGCAGTTTTGGTATCAGTTTATTTTCCCTATTATCTTTAATGAAATGCCTCACTTGACAGGGAATCATAAGCTGTTGTAAAAATGTTTTAATCATTGCTTGGTATGAAAACAGAAGGTCCTTTTGCTTGTCTGGGTGTTTGCTGGAAGTGCATTAATGTTTTATTCATGGCAGTGAGGCCACAGCACACGGAGCCCTGTGAGTGCCTGCAATAGAGAAGGAACTTAATGATGTTCACTTGAACACAGAGGGACTTCTGCCTCTTCCCAAGGGTCAGGCTGCTCTTCCGAGCCCTTTGCCTCCTGGTTTAACCCCGAGAGCTGAGTGTTTGAGGTGGCCTTCCTAATTTATTAGCAAGATCAAACAGGGAGTATTTTCTTTATTTATTGCTGGAGGTGTTTGGTTTTTGTTGCCATTAACTGACTTCTGCCATGGATAAATCTATTAACTAACCCTCTAGGAGTTTAGAGGGCTTGTTAGCCTGTTGCCAGTTTGTTTTTCAAGCCATCTAATAATGCCTTCCACAGAGTGGTCAAGACATTCTTGGCATTTAGTCCGAGATTATTTTTAAACACGACCGTTTGAGAACCAGCTTCGTAATTTCTTCAGCTGTGCTGGTATTTGTTCAAACTGTGCAGGTTCAGAAGTGGACATAAGTTGCTCTTCTGATGCCAGTTAGGAAACTCAGAGTAATTTCAGTGCACCAGCCTGGACTGTGCCCCTGAGGAACAGCAGATATGATGGTCTGCTGGCTTCTGAGAAGGCTCAGGGTCTTCATGAAAGCCTTTGAGAGGCACTGGTGAGTGGTGAGGTGGGCCAGCAGTCACGGGGAGAGTGGGCTGGGAGAAACACCTGCAGATTAAACATTCTGGGTGATTCAGTTTCAGGCATGACACCAGAGGGAGAAAAGGGGCTTTGGGTGAAGAGTCAGTTCTGAAAAGACTTAACACCCTGATCTCTGAAACCAAGGGAGAACCCGAAGGCAGAAGTTGTGGGTTTGGACCAGGAGAACGACAGACTAGAGAGACTTGAACGTGCCCCTCCTGAGTCCAGAAAAAACAGCTAAAATGAACATGGGCTGTTGAGTTTGGGACAAAAGGCTCAAAGTGCTTTCTGAAAAACTTACCAGGGTGCTGAGTGAATCCCCTCCCACACATCAGCAGACCTCTGGTGAGCCTGGTCGCAGTGACCATCCCCAGAGCAGGGGAGTTGCCAAGAGGGCTCAAGCACAGGGTGCTCTGAGCAGGATCCTGGCAGGACTGGAGGAGAGAGCGAAGAACCTCGAAGATACAATTCTGGGGTTCATTCCCCTAAAGAAGATCACATTTTAACTCGAAGGAATTAGCTTGTTTTAAAAGCTCAAGTGCAGCGTTTCAGGTTGCTTCCAAAACGCGCAACCTGGAACTGGTACAAGTCCCGAAGGGTTTGCTTTCCGTGTTCCCTGTGACATTTGCTGAGTGTTTGGCTTCAACAACATAGGACAACCTGAGCTCCACTCCCCTGCCTTAGAGCTCTGTGTGAAAAAGTATTTCCCTTCCTTAGTTTCAGATTTGTTGCTTTCCATTTCCCTGTACTGCTCGTAATGCATCGCCCTGTTTCGTGCTTTTTCTGGATTTTGCTGCATTTTGTGCTAAGTCTTCACTCCTAATGCCATTCAGGTCCCTTTGCAGGCAGTTTTTACACAAGAAAATTGCACTCCACCTACTAAGGAGCATTTTACTCCCCTCGGGGAGGTCCTGTGCTAGTATGCAGCGATTACAGTGTATCTGTGATCTTGCACTAGTGCAGCTTTCCTGGGTTAGATTTAGCTCCAGTGAACAGCAAATCTGTGATTTATTTTTGAAACGGTGCATTCTGTTCCAGTCAAGTTTTGCTCCCTACTTCCCATTCTGTAGCTTTGTTTATCTTTTAACCATACTGCAAGTATACAAGTGGACCGAATTACAAATTGCATAATACTGCAAGGACACCAGAACATTCCTGGCTAAAATTTTTTTGTCTCATTGCAGCCTTGCCCTTCATGTAGTACTACCCTTGCTCCCCACTGCGATGTCAGCGTAGAGGAAGGAGCTATCCAAAATGGTTGTCAGGATGAGCATAAAAACAGTACAAAGGTAATTTAAGTATTTCTCACTCCCCTTCTTCTCCCTTATTTCTCTGCTTCCCTCAGCTTTCTCATTTTTGCTCCGCTGTTCCTTTATTCAAGCTCTTGAGCAGCAGAACGGATTTTGATTTTGAGCAGTTGTGTTCTAAAATTTAGTTCAAGTCCCCCGCCTCAATTTTCAGAATTTTTAGTAATTTTATGGGCTCAGATTGATACTGAGAAGGACCTAAAATTTGGACTCATTCAGTTACACTGAGGCTACTCAGAAGGCACAAACAGCACTGCCAGGCTCTCCATCCCTTACCCCAGTGGGCTGTGTCACCTCACCACAAGTGATGTGTCTTGCCAGTGTCTCCTGCATTGCAGCTCTAAGACACACAGCTGAAATTCCCAGCTTTCAGTCACTTTGCATCCATTTCTGACCAACAGATACAGCACCTTACATGTTCCTCGTGCTGCTGCTGCCATGGTTGCTTTTCCTGAAGCCACCTGCTTCTTCCTCTGCCTCACCACACGTTGCCTGTTTGTCGTCTTGTTTGTGACCTTCACAGCCCCTGCTCTACCTGTCACTTCTCCCTCCTGAACATTAAGCTCCTGCCTAAATGCAGATTGGGGACCAGTGCTCATCACCTGGCTGTTATATATTCAAATAAGTTTAATGCTTTCCCTCATCAGAGCGAATCGCTTCATAAACACACTCTGAGACAACAGTCTTGTTCTTCACGTCTGGCTTAAAGCTTTTCTCGCCTATAAAGGTGGTTGAAAACCTTGCCAGCACTTACTCCACTGCTCAGCCACTCAATTACTCTGTGTTTGTCTCTCTGCTCTCTGTCTGTACTTGACCTGTTGTCTCATGCCTAAATTGTAAGCTCAGAAGCAAGGCCTGCCTTACTGGGCTATAGGGGTGTGTTACACAGCAGTTCTGTGCCAGGATTCCCAGGAAACAACCTAAGAAAAGAGTCAAATAATAATCCCTTCAGCCCTGAGGGAGGTGGAGCAGAGTGGCCAGCACATACTGCTCTCAAACCAGCACGAGATCTTTAAGACAAAAACCCTGGGAGATCTGCAGGTGGGCAGGAGATGTTTCTTCTCCACGCTGCCTCTGCCCACGTGCCAGGGATCTCCAGGATCCAACTGCAAACAGAGATTGTCCTCAGGTACCGACTGCCTGGTGTCAGGAGATGTCTTCATTGGAATTATCCTTTGAGTTCCTTCCTCCTGCAGCTGTACTGGCTTCATGTGTGTGAATCAGCCAGTCATCTGACCCTGCTTGGAGGAGGTCTGTGCAGAGCAGAGGAAAAGGGCTGTAATTTTGCTGGAAGAAACATGTTAGTGGAGACCAAATTGCACGTCCTCCTTGGATTTGGTTTGGTTATTACTCAGCCAAAAATTGGAGCTGTTACGTGGCTCTCCAGTAAGTCTGAGATGCCTCTTTAACTGAGAGCCTTAAGAACAGCCACATGCACAAAGTTACTGTGGCATTTGATTTCCAAATCTTCCTTGAAGTTTGAGGTCTCTCGGGAAAAGGAGCCGTAAGCTCCCTCTACCCATCTCTGGAGTCTGTTCCCTTCCCATGCCACATGCTGCCCTCATGTCCCCTGCCTTTTGGGAATGTTACTGATGTTTGACCACATCCTTGGACCTCTGTGGGTCCCAACAGCCTCTGGAGCTTCCCTATCTTTTGATGAGAGGAAACTCTCACATCAGGTCTCTGAGTTCTCAAGCAAACCCTGTTGCCTTCGGAAGCCACAGTAACACTGGAGCTAACAACATTTAATAAATAGGGATTTTCTCCTACACAAACAGTTTCACACTCTAATCCCTGCCTCTAAAGATTAACAGAGTGGAGACAGCACAGGGAAACCTTGAGCTGACTGAAGGAAAGAATTTTCTTGGGGATTTGAGCCTTTGCCAAGGAGCTGAAGAGAAAGTCCATGCTGACCTTCTTTGAAGGAGCAGAAATTTTCACTGCATTTTTCAGATGATCTTAAAGAACAGCAGGGAGAGCAGACAGTGCACAGGAGTCCAGATCTTTTATTTGAGCTGATCATAGCAAAAACTGTGTTCTCTCAGTTACTGCTTTTCAAGTAACAAGTGGCTGCAGGGGTGAGAAAGAGGAGAAAGACACACTTTATTATGAAAAAAAAAAAGGTGGTAACTATGACCTTCAGTTTTTCTTTAGGCCTCAGGTTGTTCTGGGAAGTGCTCTGAGCAAATACAATCCTTAGCATAAATATAAAAAAGCCCCCACCAAACAAAGAAAACCCTTCACTAGCAGCTTGTTGGTCTGTTCTCTTTGGTTTCCCTTTGTTAGTTCTCCTTATCTCCAAACCTGGCTCTGCAGGATGCCTTGTGCTCCATAGCTGTGTTCCCTCTGAGCAGGCTGGATAACCTGGTAGGGATGCAGGAGGACTTGCTCGGAAGCTGCTGAATGTTTTCCCTTCGAAAGAAAGAACATGGTGACCTTTTATGTGAGAAGTCCTCATGCCTCTGGCTTACAGGGGAGTGTCCCTCTGTCCCAGGCAGCACCTCTCCATCCAAGAGGGCTCTTGGTCTGCCCCTGGTGGGATATGTGTGGCTGAAATCACCTTTCTCTCCTGGTTATTATGGTCTGTAGCAAAGCATTGGCAGCACACCAAGGAAACTACCCAATTTCCTATTCCTTCCTCAGCTGCTGTCGCTGCGCAGTGAACACCTGCAGGCTGCCAAAACAACTGTTGTGAGGGCTAGAAGGGACTAGACTGGGAATCCTTCCATCTCCTGGCTCCCAGCTCTCGGGCTCACACCTCCGCTGGGGCAGCCCAAGGATCCCGCCGGCCCCCTGGGAGGGAGGAAGGGGAAGCACAACCCACCTCCCTCCTGCTTTTCCTGTCGCTCCAGGGAACCATTCCAACACACCTTGTTATGGCTTTAGCTCTTGAGGTCTTGGCTGTGACAGGGAGCCAAGCCTGAGTGGTTCCTGACTCCTCCCTGCACGAGGTTCTCCTGCTGCTCCATTAGCTTTGCATCTCCCCTGGCTGTGCCTGCACCTCTCACTTTACCTGTCTGTGTTCATGTTTGCTTCACAGGATAGATCACACGAGGAAATTGAATTAATTTTGCATGGGCAGCCAGCAACCAGATATTTTTTAACTTTAACTAAGTTGATTTTACAATGTCAGTAACATATTTCAGCGTGTGGTTGGGGTGGTGATGATATTTATGGTATTTATTTATGGTCACTGCGGTGGCATCCAAGAATAGTCTTCTGGAGGAGCTTGTCAGAGCTGTTCAGGCAGGAATGGAGAAACTTCTGTCATGAGTGGGCTTCAGGATGAGGATAAATGCTGCATGATAAGTGATAAGATGTGGAGGGGGGAGATGAACATTCAAATATGCTAAGTTTGCTCTGTGTTTGCATTTGAAAATGATCCTGACTAACTGCAGTTCATTTTCATTCTAACCACACTTAGTTATCTAATTCTTTTGGAATTGCTTCAGTGCATATTGGTCTAGGTCAAACAAAATGTAAAAGAAGGAACTCCAGGCTCCATGAAAATAGAATGATTTTTGGTTAGAAGCAATTTGTGTTCCCAAATGAAAGCAGAATTGGTGATGCTGTACCTAAGCTGTGTTGCAGGCTGGTGTCAGAATTAACACTGCAGTCTTAATTAATACAAAGGCAGAAGAAAACCAGAAAGAAGAAGTATGCCTTAGTCAGTGAAGAAAATGTAGTTTTATTTGTAGGATTTTGGGGTTTTTTTGGTAGGATGATGGGATGTACAAAAGGGCTGTTCCCACAGGTGGGAGAGAGGAGGAAGCTCTGGGAAAGCAGCAGGGCTGTAGTGGTCAGGAAGGATCAGCAAGGGCTGGCAGAGTGAGTTGTCTCATGATCTGTGGAAAGTCAGCACAGTTGACGTGGGTATTTAAAAAGCTTTTTAGGGGAATCTGAACCTTAAGACAAGGGAATGAAATTTGGGCCTGTGGTTCGTTGTCACTGCCTGTGTGAAAATGGACATTGTTTCCTGCTCCTTGGAAAGTTGGTACAGAAAAAGCAAAAAAGACACCTAAACAGGGCTGTGCCTGCAGAAGGTGGAGGAGATACATCCAGAGGAGATGTGGATGGGTTCAGGGCAGGTGGAGTTTGGTCTTTGACGTGGTCGGGTCAGAACTCAGTGTGTTGAGAAAGAACTTCTTCCAGCTTTTGCTCCTTGGAATCTCGTCTGTTTGCCCTCTCAACCACTAACATTCCCTGTGTATGTTTTCCTTTCTGCCACCCAGGCCTCGGGAGGACACAGTCCCAAGACTCAGAATGGACTTTTGAGTCCTCCACAGGAGGAAAAGCTCAGCAACAGTCAAACCTCTCTGTATGAAATGCTGCAAGAGAAAGGCCGCTGGGGCGGGGTGAGCCTGGATCAGTCAGCTCTCCTCCCTCTGAGGTTCAAAAATATCCGAGAAAAGACAGATGCTCACTTTGTGGATGTGATTAAAGAGGACAGGTAAGGAAAATGGAGTGTCAAATCTTGTAAAGGTGAAAAGGCAGTACCAGGGTCCCGTATCTTTAGTCTTTATTTGTGTGGGTTTTTGTCTAATTACTGTTAACATACAGCATGTCCTACATTTTCTGATTTGAGTCTTTATTCTGCTTAAACTGCCGTAGGAATTTGATATCAGAGACATTCTGTTTAGAAATGTGCAAAGCCACTTTTTTCATTGCTTCCATGGTGAACAGTCCTCCTTCGGTGGAACCTTGGGAAAGGAAATTGCTCTTTAAATCACCTGTCACGAAGTTCAGCTCTATCTCGACAGTCAAACGTCGTCTAAATGCACACAGTTTGTACCTTCCTCTGCAATTCACGGTGTAACAGAAAATCTGAACCACGAAACTCACATTTTTGTGTAGCAAAAGAACAACAGCTGATAACATTGTGTGACTAACACCTAGAAATCATGCTGGGCTTGGAAACAGAATTAATAGGAGAGGATTCTCATGCAACTGCTACCTCCTTACATATTGTAAAGTTGGTTTCTCGCTCTGTTTCAAACAAAGGAAAATGATTTTGGGCAGAGGAAATGTTGTCCAAAATTCAGTAGTGTGGGATTTTTATAAACACAAAATGATATATCCCCTGTTATGACAGTGACTTGACTGGAGCAACTAAACAGATAACTTGAGTTTGTTATTATCTATGGCTATTCTTGTTTTTGTTTTTGTTTCACTGCTTCCACTCAAATTGAGGGTGTTTTGTCTAAATATCCTTGAAACTGCTGTGTGCTTGTGTGGACTCTGGGCTGCTTGGAACAGGGACACATCACCTGAACTGGAAACATAACTAAGGCAGGGAGAGGTGACAGCAAAGGACAGGAGTCCCTCTCCAATCTCCAGGTTTGCTCAGTTTACCTTTCTCCTGTGCTCAAATTCAGTTAAAGCTTAGGTTCCTTTATTGTTTTTCTCTGTGTGTGTTCTGTCTCTGGTGGCTGAGAATTGGTGTTTAGCTGATATTTTCAAATATTAGAAGACAGTCGGATCGGGAAAGTCCAAGTGTTGGCAGAAATCAGCAAGAACAAACCGAATTGTTGTTTAAAATGTAACCAGCACACTGCAAACTTTAACTTATAGAAGTAGATTAATTGATGCCCTCGGTCTGCTGAAGATACTTTGCTCGAGCTCTCGTGTTCCCGGTGCTTTCCTCCCACACTCCCAAGATGGATAATTCTCTCTGATTCGGAAAAAAGGAAGAAGCAGGACTGTGATTTGAGATCAGTCAAAGCCTGGCTCTTTTTTGGTCTCAATTAAATATCATCATTACCATATTAAGTGGGCCATTTCTTGTTGCCACGGAAACTTCTCTGCCGAGTTCAGTTCATGTAAACATAACTTTCCAAAAATAATCTTCTGATTAATTAGCTCTAAGCAAAATGCTTTAAGCCTACTGGTTTACACTGATCTTTTCAACATCTCTCAATGAGAAATTATATGGAATAAGTCCTTTTAAAAGCGTTCTTGATCCCCTGCTATAAAACGTAATTGTTGGTCTTGACGAATCGAGCATCTGTGGGGATCTTTGGATGTGGAATTCGAGGTGTTGTTTTACAGGAATCCCCATTTTCAGTAGGTTTTGTTGCATTGGTCTGACGTTGCTGCAAACCCAGCAGCAGCCAAGTGACTTTCCCTGAGCACTGGGCAGCAATTTCCACAGGATTCCTATTGACAGAAAGTACTTAACCCAGATATGATGCTAAGGTGCATAAATTCATCCCACAGGCTTCCTGGAGAGCTGGGAAGGGTAAACGTGTCCTCAGGGGATTCAGGAGCCTGGACACTGCATTAGGAAGCTGCCTGGGGCTGGCTGGGAGGAAGTGCTGGACACTGGTGATATTTTTCCTCTCCAGTCTCTTTCTGGAGCTTTAGCTGTGTGGTTGGGAGCTTCTTTGCATGCTGAGATTTCACCTTGGAGCTGATACCTCAGCACTGCCTTTAAAAATAATAGTAATGAAGACAGTCTTTGTGTGGCATGTTTGTATTAGTAATTATAGAAGAATACTTTTATGAAAAGTTATCAGTTCTTACAGCTTGTTTCTCTATATTTGACAAACAGGGTATGGTTTGAGCTTTGAGTCTGGCTTTACTACTATCACTATAAAAATACTGTTCATTGTAATCTGCACATTACTGTGTGTATTTTAAAAGAAAACTGTATTGTAAGAGTACAGAATGTTCGAACTTAGTTTCATTGGGAATATCCTCAAAGGATTCTCTGGTTTGGGATTTTTGTTTCCAAGAAAAATTAGGTATTCCTTAGGTTATAAACCTCCTGAAGTACAAGAAACAGGTACTCATGAACTGATCAGGGCAGTAATTCCAGTAATCTCTTTAGAGTTACAGAGCACAGTCCCAGGGATGTATGGAGCTCCCCCAGAACTGGGTTCTGTGCAGCCCTTCATCCCCTCCTTGGGGCAGCTTCCTGTTTAAATACTTTTAAAATTTGTTTGTTTCTTTCATCTCCCACTTCCCAGTGTTGCTTGATCCGGGGAACACACAAATCCCTGTGCTGGGAGGCACAGGGGCCTCCTGGGGAGCACATTGTGTACTTGACTGTTTAGTCAAGTAAAGTGGGATCTTCCTCTTTGGGACAGACGTGGGTTGACATGGAGCTGGATTGGCACTGGGAATGCTGCCTTCTCCCCCCTTCCAGCCTGTTGCACCTTCTGTTTCGTGCTGCACTGGCAGCTGGATTGTTCCTCTGACATCATCCAGCACAACATCACCGTCCTCTATTGAGCTTCCCGGGAGGAAGAAAGGGAATCCAACAATCTTTAAAACAAACAAACAAACAAAAGCTTTCAAAATTCTTAGTATAAGATGCTCTTAGAAACATCTAAGAGAGGGGAGGAACAAAGACAAGGAATAATGACAGACAGAAGGGTGGCTCAGGTGAATGTGTCCTGTCGTTCTTTCAGGGCATCCTGATGTTCTTAATATATTGGCCAAGGCCAAGGTTATAAAGTATCAACCATATTCATGGTTAGAGTCGTTTGTCTTCTCTGGCATCAGTCTAAGAATTTGTGGTTGGTTGGTCTTGCATTTCAGTTCAAAAAAGTGCTTCCCACATGCCATTGTGTGCTGGGGAGCCTGTACTTCCAAAAAACCCCTCTGCCAAGAGTTCGGCAAAATTAAACAGAAACAAAACCCATAACCAGCCTCCCCCAAAAAGAGGCTCTTTAGGATCTTTCATCTTCTTCATCTGCTGAGAGTTTGACCTCATGTGCATCTCTAAGTCAGGTCCTTTCAGCTCTCTGACACCTGCTCAAGAAAGAAAAAAAGAGGAGTTGCAGAACTGTCTTTAGGAAACTTCACTCATAAACCTCTTACAGCTAATGCAAAACTCAACTTTCTATTTTTCCTCCAGAGGATCGGAAACATAAACAACACTTTAATAATTGAAGCCTCTTATTGTTGTTTATTTTGATTTTTTTCTGCACCTGCCTAAATGTTCGTTCGCGAAGCCTGGCCATGACATGACGTGACATTTCTGCACCTGACACTGGAAGAGGAGGTGAAGGAGGGCATAAACACCCTCTGGTGGATGCTGCCTCTGGGTCCCTTAGCCCTCCTGAGCTGGTGTCACTATTTGTCACTGGCTTTGTTGATGATTCTGGTCATTTTAAATCATCTGTTTCAACAGTAAATCTAAGCTCTCTGTCTCCTCAGGTTCCATGTCTTTGCAGCCCAGATTCTTAAGGGAGTGTTTTACCAGTCGAGTTACTGAGTCATTTTAGTGTCTGAAATAACAAGAAACTGCTGTTTTCTAAAAGGGACAATGGTTTTTTTTCCTCTAACAATTTGTCACCTTTGTCATCCTTGGCTTGCTTTGAGCAATAGAATTCCACCCAAGGCACAAATATCCCGCAGCCACGTGTCTCCTGAGCTTGTGCCTCTGTAGCAGCAATTAACCTTTACTGTTTGCTGGCTTATATTGCAATTATCTGGAGTCATCTGGAGTGAGAGCTGTTAAGTTTCTTGAAGGACTTGTTAGTCTCTTCCTGCAAGTATAAAAGTTTGCTCTCTCGGGTTTTTTTGTGGAATATTTCCTTTGACTGAGTGTTGTGACTAAGGGGGTACTTTGGTGATCAAGAGCAGAGAAAAGCCAAAGGAACTTCAAAGCCAAGGTCCAGCATCCCTAGAAAGAGCAACCACAGACTAGGGGGGGTCTGAAAGAGGTACAGCTGAACAAACTGATGTTTATATTGTCTTTTTTTTTTTAGCCTCATGAAAGATTATTTCTTTAAACCACCTATTAACAAGCTGAGCCTGAACTTCCTGGATCAGGATTTGGAGATGACCTACAGGACAAGCTACCAGGAAGAGGTGTGTTTCTCCTGGCATTGGTTTCCTTCTGTAATCCATCTGAGAAACTTTCTCTCGTTTTCTGGGGTTTTTTTTCAACACATCTCGTTGTAGTTGATGACAACGGTCATGAAATGTCAAATGTGATTTACTACTGGTATTGCTGCCTCTGCAAACAGTCTCCTTTCAGTTTATCACAGAATCACAAGCTGGTCTGGGTTGGAAAGGACCTTAAAGCTCATCTTTTTTCACCCTCTGCCATGTGTCTCCCTGGAGCCTTCTCTTCTCCAGGTGAACACCCCCAGCTCTCCCAGCCTGTCTCCAGAGCAGGGCAGCTCCAGCCCTCAGAGCATCAACATACCCTGTACCCCAAATCTAGTCTTACATTTGGACTAGAAATCCATTTTCACAGTCCACCAAGGTTCACTAATTACTTCTCACTCACCTTTTCTCCATGTTCAGGTTAATGTTTTAAGGCTCTACGTTGGCCAGAGAACCATGTTGAGATGAAAGTAAAGGACCAAATGCTACTTGCCTCCTCATCAAGTATCCCAGCTTTGAGAATGGCAACTTCGAGTTTGATTTTTTGTCAAGTCACAGCCCCATGGTTACCCCTGTGGAACCTAAACCCTTGCTAAACTCAAATGCCCTAATTCCATAAGTGTGCTGCATTCAGAAACCCTGTGGAATTGTAAGGAGCAGTTGTGAGGAACTGGGTACTCTCTTCAGGATTCTGCACCGAGTGTAACAAGTCCTCAGTTCCCTTGGGGGCTAATAATATCACAGGCTTTCCATGTCAGTGGATATCCCTGCCTGGCTGATAGGAACTGGCATTTACATAAAGTGACATTAGGTGTCAGTTAGAACTGAGGCTGCATTTTCACCAGGAGCTGAAAAGGTGCTGCCAGAAGAAGGCAATTGCTCTGCTCTGTCCTTCCTGCTCCTCCTCCTCCCTGTTCCTCCTCCTCCCTGCTCCTCCTAATGGCTCTGGTGCTTACCAGCCTTCCCTGCTGTGAGCAGCTCATTTACTGGCCCAGCATAAAATATTCATGGTTTGTTTTTCTGTCTGGGGCTCTTTCATTTCCCATCTCTCTGTTTTCTGCCTCTCGGAACCAGCAGCTCTCAGGGGTTGGCAAATGCCAGAGCCAGCCCAAGATACCAGAGCCAGCCCAAGATGCCAGAGCCAGCCCAAGATGCCAGAGCCAGCCCAAGATAAGCAGCTGGCAGCAGGAAGGGGAATGGGCCCTTCCCTTCCAGCAGTGCAGAGCTGTTAGTTTGGTTCATCCAGCTGCAGAATTGCATTGGGATAAATGTGGGTGTTGGTTTCTTTTCTTCCATGTAGTATGTCCTACATCTGAGGGCAGGTGGGATTTCTGCTTCTGCTGCTCATTGCTTTCAGTTCTGGGCAGAGTTGTCGTGTTCTCCCTGGCAATAGCCCCTGTTTGCTTGTTTTCCAATACTTCCAGGTGAGACCTAACCTAATTTGTTTTACCAAAGGAAAGCCCAGTTGTGTTGCAGTTCAGTCTGTTCACTTTGTTCACTCCATACTCATCCTGCAATAAAATAGTCTAGTAGTATCTGCAGAAAGCTCTTGTAGCAACAACGGGGAGAAACTTCCCCTGGCACACTGGTTTATTTGCAGATATAAAATAAAATTTGCAAGCTATACAGAAAATAGTAAATCAAGTTGTTTCCAATGGAAAGATTGGAAAGAGAAATGAAGCAGTAATAACCAAACATATACAGATTGACCTATTAATGTGGATATGTAGGGAAATCCTAGAAGGAGCACCGATGAGGTCTGTGCATTTTGTTAGTAGTAAGCTATTAATTTGAAAATCATTACATAAATCTCCCTGGAAATGGGAATCTTCACTCTCTAATAGTAACTCTGCAGCACTGGGGCAAAAACCTTTTAAAGCCTTAATATTAGCAGAGTACTGGTCCGAAACAACAACAAAATCTTCTCTTGGAGAGTGAAAAGAGTTGTCAGCACTCCTAGTTCTCTAATTGCCTGGCCGTCAACTGCTGCTGAAAGTAACTTCCAGCACCCCTGAATTCCCCTCTAATTACACAGTGCCAGCTGCATGCTTGGGTTGTGATCCCTCTCCAGAGTCAGCTCTGCTTCCCAGGAGCTTGCTTAGCCTGTTCTTGTTTGGAAGTGAAGGCACTCCTTAGCCCTGTCAGAGCATCTTTAACGCTGTCACCTGGGGATACGGTGCTGCTTCCCTTAATTCGATTGGTGAGACTTGGTGTGTGAACAGCACTCTGCTGCTGTTCAGGTTGAAAGGTAATTTTGGCACTGAAGTGATGCTGGCTGAATTTACTGGGTTGCAGAGAGGTACAAATGAGGGACTAGTTTGTTTCCCAGTATTGCTGAGTGCAGGAAGTGTTCTGAGGAGCAAAGGAAACTTCCCGATTAAACCAGAGCCCTCCAACTGGGTGCCTTCATGTTGACATTGATAACATAATGTCTGTTTTTCTTTGGAACTTGCTTTCTGTGGTCCCTTGGGCAGATATACAGTCCCAAAACTGGGCTCACCCAAGTAAGCTGGGATATAGAGCTCATGATCCAGTTTTCAGCTGGACTGTCCACAGTAGCACAAGCACAGCTGCACAAGCACTGGGCCGGGACAAGATGGGATGGGAATGTGTGGTGAGGGGTTATGGAAGAGCAGGACTTGGTGTCCTGAGCTCTGATCAATTTGGATTACACATAATCTCAGTGGCTGCTTTTAGTGGTCTGAAAGGGAGATGTGAACCCTGCCACAGGAGCTGTTACTGTGGGGAGGTGTTTGGAGGGTTTTCTTAAAGACCCATCGAGGCTAAAAAGTAAAATCTGTTATTATTTTAAATTGAAATAATTGAAGAAAATGTCTCACAGTTTTATCTGCTAGTAATTATATTCATGTCTCTTTGCACAGAATAGTCAATTTTCATGTTATTTTATTTCTGTATCATAATAGTGTATAAAAATCACCTCAGTCCTGGGGGCTGTGCTGCCAATGCTTTTTTTCAACACAGTCTTCTCAGGGAACTGTGACAGCCATGGCACCACCTCTTCTGCTTCTTGTTTCCAAACATTCCTTACATTGGATTAACGAAGCGGCCAAAACTTCTTTATTCCCCAACTTGTTTTGAGCTGCTGTTTATCACCCAGTTGAATTCAACAGAGTGGCGTTTATTCATGTCCAGCCCTGTATCGCACACAGGTCATGAAGAATGCTCCAGTGAAGACGTTTGCCAGCGCTACCTTCAGCTCTCTCCTGGACGTGTTCCTGTCCACCACAGTCTTCCTCATCCTCTCCATCACCTGTTTCCTGAAGCACGGCATGGTGGCGTCCCCTCCGCCCCCCGCCGCCGTCGCCGTGTTCGTCGTCGCCATCCTGCTGGAAGTGCTGTCCCTCGTCGTCTCCATTAGGTAAATAACCAGTAACAGAGCCTGGGAATGGCAGGTGGAGCTCAGGTGGTGGCTGGCTCGGGAACATTTTGTTTGACAGCCCCCCAGGAACACGCTCGGACGGTCTGTGATGTTTGAAGAGCAGCGTCGGTGCAGCCAAGGCTGGCGGCAGATCTTGTGCAGAGAGAGCTCTGGCTGCAGGCACTGCGGGAGAAGTGTGGCTCTGATGGAGGCCACTTAGGGAAACGGGAGCTGCACACCGTGCCTGCGCCTCTTACTGTTCCTTGGGATGCCTCATGAGCCTCCCCTCACAGGGCCATCAGAATCCAAACAGGAAACTTTTGTCTGTCCTTCAAACAAACCCACCCAAAAAATTCCTAGATAACAGTACACTGTTCTGGGGTTAAAGCTGAAATAGCGTGGCCAGCAGGAGCAGGGAAGTGATCCTTCCCCTGTACTCTGCGCTGGTGAGGCCACACCTTGAGTATTGTGTTCAGTTCTGGGCCCCTCAGTTCAGAAAGGATATTGAGGTGCTGGAGCGGGTCCAGAGAAGAGCAACAAGGCTGGTGAAGGGACTGGAGCATAAGTCCTATGGGGAGAGGCTGAGGGAGCTGGGGTTGTTTAGCCTGGAGAAGAGGAGGCTCAGAGGTGACCTCATCGCCGTCTATAACTACCTGAAGGGAAGTTCTAGCCAGGTGGGGGTTGGTCTCTTCTCTCAGGCACTCAGCAACAGGACAAGGGGGCACGGGCTTAAGCTCCGCCAGGGGAAATTTAAGTTGGATATCAGGAGAAAAGTCTTTACAGAGAGAGTAATCAGGCATTGGAATGGGCTGCCCAGAGAGGTGGTGGATTCACCATCCCTGGAGATTTTTAAACGCAGATTGGACGTGGCACTGAGTGCCATGATCTAGTAAATGGACTGGATTTGGACCAAGGGTTGGACTCGATGATCTCGGAGGTCTCTTCCAACCCAATCGATTCTATGATTCTATGATTCTATGAAATCATGTATCAGAGGTGCAAAGAGCAGTCCTTCTCTCAAAGGAAAAAAAAGAAGAAAAATTGCTAAAGTCACATTGCATCTGTCCAGAAATAGTTTCTTTTTAAAGTTCCGTGGATTAATGTTGTAAGAGCTTGTGTTTTCTGTCTGACACGTAACTGGAGGTCAGCATTTCCCTGGATTCAGGGCTGTGGGATTCAGATTCTGCTGCTGAAGGGAAGGGAGCACTGGTTTGTCTCTGCAGAAGGAATGGTACTTTGCAGTGCCAGCCCCACACAGCAGCAAAGAATCCTCAGTCCCTGAATCCTTGTCCTGCCCCTCAGCCTCTCCTGTGCCCTTGGAGGGGAAGGCTTGGCTGTTTAACAGTGACTCCACATTCCCCATTGGTACCCAGTCACCCACAGGACATGTGTCCTGGGCTTTGAGGACACCTGCAGGCCTTACTCCTGTGGTAACTTCCTCTGGAACGTGGGGTTCCAGGGGTTACTCACACATCCAGGTGTAGCAACCAGCAGTTGTCTGTGTGTTCAGTGTTCATGCTCTCCTGGGTGTGTTGTCTGATCTGTGCAGATACCCCGTGTAACCTGTAATTAACCCAGATGATGGACCTATTAATAAGTTGTTTGTTTGTGTGTACGTGTGAGAGCAAGTTCACTGTGCCCTCCTCAGCCCCGCTTTCCCTTGACACAGGAGCGTGATAAGGGGGGTGTGTGGAAACCTGTGTCCTCACTTGTAGTTCTGCAGATCTGTCAGGAATGTGTAAGTCAAAATGCTTCTGTAATTACAAGTTGGAAGGAATTCTGCTGCTGTTTCGAGAGAAACAAGAGATTACAGTGTGCACTCTTATTTTGACTTTACAAGGTCAAGGTAAAAATACTGGATTAGTGCTTTAGCCACTGAAGGAAGTTTGTATCTCAATGAGCATATAAATGTATGTGTGTTACATCAAAGCTGGCACAGAGAGTGAAGAGAGGTCATGTGTGAACAGTGGAAACGCTTTTAAAGATAGTATTTCTTAGTGGGGGTATTTGATTGTTGCAATTCGAATCATTTTTAGAAAACCTGGAAATTCAGAAGGTGTTAAGAGCTGTACTGGGAGATGGTTGAACTGCAGGGCTGTCATTGTAGTGTATCCTAAAATGGATTAACTCACGTTCTGTCCTCTCTCTTGCATCAGAAATGCATTTTCCCCTTTGCAGAAGTCTCTGCACGCTGGTTTGGGTGGGGGAGAAGTTGTTTTGGCACTTCAGTGTGCCCAGGCAGCTCTGCCATCTCACCAACAGCAGGTGGTCTGGGTTTGGTGGCCATGAACTTGTTCAGCTGTGAACAGCTCAACACCCACTTTGCTGAAGAGCTACTTTCTGCTATCCAGATTATTTGGAGAAAAGTTGTGTTCACTCACTTTTCAGGTGAATTCTTGCTTCGTTTTAGTATTTTTCAATTCACTGGTTTTCCCACTTGTTTTCCCAATGCTACATTACATTTGCCTTTCCTTGTTTTGTCCTTTCATAAAAATTATTGCTATAATCTTAGAAATATTTATAGGTAGGTACATAAGGTTTTATTGCAGTCCTGTTCTATAATTGGTGGGTTATGGTTTTCTTAAGGAGAAGGAAAATTGTTGTTTTCAGTCTGTCTATATAGTCAAGAACTGGCAAAGTAGTTCTGCCTTCCTGAGCCGTGTGTGGCTGTGCAGGGGTTTGGCTTCAGTGCAGCACTGTGTGGTCAACCCAGAGACCCCACAAATTCTCCTGGTTACTTTGGGAACCAGGAATTGCTGGATGGAAGAAGCACCAGCTGCCCTTCCCTGCCCTGTCTGTCAAACCAGCCGTTGAGGAGTAGGGACGTAGAAATTGAGGCCCCAAATATCTCTTGGAGTGTCTGCAAATCACTCTGTATTTTAGCACTTATATATTCTGAGTTGGAAGGGGCTCAGAAGGATCACTGAGTCCAGCTCCTGGCTGGAACCTCCTGCCATGGGCTCACACTCGTGATCTTTCCTCTGCTAACGAGATTTAATTTGTATTTAACTTAACTCTGATCATCCCATCTAAGGTAACACCGGAGTAAATCTCTTACGGTACAAACCCAGGATCATCTCAGATCTGAGCTGGTCCTACCCAGGGTACCTGCTTGAAAACAGTCTCAGACCTCACCTGAACAGAGCAGGCTTTGTAGGTGAAAAACCTCAGAAGCTTTCTGGTAGGTTTTCAGTTTTAAATGTAAGGACAGTGGTGTATTTGGGTGGAGCTTTGGTAAGAAAAGGTGTCTAGTTGGGTTTGGAGGGGTTTTTTTGTTGTTGTTTTGAATTTATAATACGTATTTGTTTTATAGTAAATACATAAGATAGACTTTTGGGCCACCCCAGTCTCCTGGGGCACACACTGCTGTACGGTTCCCTTGAGCAGAAAGAAGGCAATCATATTTTTCCTCTTCAAATCCTCTCCCAAGTGAGGACTGCTCCCTCTGACCACTCATTATGCAGTGCAGAACTTCCTGTGCAGAAATGTCATCCCAAATGACAATCACAGAATACCAGCGAGATATCTGCAGGGAGGAGATCGGACTACAATGCTGGGCACAATCCCAGAATTTCAGGAAAAGGGATTATTTTAAGACCAGAAAATTCTTGCCTAAGTTTCACATTGTATTTTCATTATCGTGATGTGAAACACCCTGTCTTTAAATCAGTCTAAATTGTAATTAAATCCAGGACTCAGCCTAGCAAGGATTGCTTGGCTCTTGTGGCTCAGCCCTCAGTCCAGCTGAGGGAGAGGGAAGGGGAGCACTGTCTGTGCCTGGGCAAGGAGAAACAAAACTCGAGTTCTGGAAGAGCAGAAGGCCTCATGGAGCAAAGCTTACGAGGGAGAAGGATGTTTTGATTCCTCTGAAGTGTCTGATAATAAATTATTGGAGTACCTGTAGATGAGGATCCCACTGTTAACACAAGAGCCACTTGAAAATTAATTGTATAAAGCTGCACGCAAAAATTGGTGCTTCATTTGTGAGCACATGGAAAATGTCATCTCCTGCTCTGTAAATGTTCTGTAAAGAATGTCCTTCGGCCCACTTGAAGTGTAACTACTTTGACAAGTTCAGTTGAAGCGTAAGAGGTCCTGAAATTCTGTTTTTTTATTAAAAAAATACTTGGGAAATGTCACTGAACATACACATGCAAGGTTTCACTTGGGAGTCTGAGGAGTGGGTCTGCAGGAATGCAGGTAAAAGATAGCTGCCCACTATTTTTGTGTAAATACAGGGGTTTTGTTAACTAGATGATTTTGACATCTAATTCTTGAGTAAAACTGGCCATAAATGAGTTTGTTTACGAAAAATATGTTGCTTCTGATGATGTGCTACAGAGAAGAGTTGTGGGTGAGGAGCTGAGGGCAGAGAGTGGGTGTTTCAGCCCTGTTCAAAAGAGTGAGAGGTGGGAGCACTTCAAGTTGATTCGTGAATTTAAAAGGGCCTTTCTAGAGAGCAAAACAAATTATCTCCTGGATGAAGCAAGCGAGTGCAGTGGAACACTGGAATGGGAAGTTGTGCTGTTGTCTGACTGAGCAGAACTGCCCTTTTCCTGGTGCTTCACCTTCCCAGCCTTGCTGAAGTGCCACCCACAGTCTGTCCACAGCAGAGAGACCCTGTGGCCAAGCACTTGGATCTTCCTAAATTCCCAGTGACCAGGAGCAGAAATTGTTTCCTGCATCCCGAGCTTAATGAACCAGATCTGTTAACAGGACTGATACAGAGTCCTGATGCCGGGGAAAACAATGGAATCTGTTTGCCTTTATTTATTTCTAACATCTGGTATTTAATATCCCACCAAATTGCTGCTGTGCCAAAAGCTTTTGATTCGAACTCTGGGAATTGATTTTAAACTGCCAGTAAATACAGAAATGATGGTAACAGTCTCCATTAGCCATTAATCATTTATGTCAAAGTTACTAATTTGAACTCCAGCTTGTGTAAACATCTCGGAAGCTTCAGCATTTAAGCCCCGTTGAGCTGCCCACTGACACTGCATTATTTACTGATACTGCCCTGTAGCCATTAAATCTGTCTGCAGCTCTCACTGCTGTCTGGATTTAATGCACTCCTGACTTCCTGTGCTGGGAGCGTTGGGCTGGATCCACCGCCTTTCCCTGCTAAGGATGGGAATTCAGTCGTTTAATTCCAGAGCGCAGAGCTCTGCGATAAACACCAGCCCGAAAGAATCAATGCGAGAAGGTAAAGATTATCAGGAGAAATGTGACGTTGCCCTGGAATTTGCACTGTCCTTTTGGAAGCACACAGCTGCCTAAATAAAGCAGTGTCCTCATCGCGGGATTAACCGATCGCGTTCGCCGGTGGATTTGTTGCTATAGTTCCCACAGGAATTTGTCCTGGCATGGAGGCTTGGCAAAAAGGAACACTGAAGAAGTGGAGTCCCTGGTGTGTGGGTTGGGGTGAGAGACATGAGCTGCACTGGGTATCTGCCACTGAGCTGGGTCCTGTGCCAGGCAGGATGGGAGCGATGCGGAGATCCAGGAGAGCGTAGGCAGAGCTGCTGCCGAGCTGCCTTGGGAGAGACTGGGGGGGCAGGTTAGCCCAGGGAGCCCCATTCCCTTCCCTCTCTCACACTTCAGCCATGGAGATCCTAATCCCAGTCCGCAGGCTTTGGGAGAACGGAACTTTGTTTTTAGAGGCAGATTTGATTTCAGACGTACTTGGTGCTGAGAAAGTAGGGCTGTCACTGAGCACGGGGACAGTTCTGTCATCAGGGTAGGACACTTTATAACCCTTCAGAAACCCCAATTCTTACTCTGCAGAGCCTTTTTTTTTTTTTTTAAATTTTATCTTGCTCTATATCCAGTTTTTAAATTTCAGTGCGTTGTTGGAAACTGTTTCCTGGTGGAATACAGGTATAATTTTTGGTGTGAATGGAAGTCCATTAAACTGAAAACTGGCAAATCTGTGAGCACCCTCTCGTGGGATCCCGGTGTATTACAGCGTATTCCATCCTCCCAAATTTCTCTTTTTAATGCATTTGAGGATAATTTCCAGGCTTGAATGTATTAAAATTAAATAGGTTAAATTAGAGGAGAGCTCTTGATGCTTCAAAAAATGCTTGTGTTCACAAAACTCACAGAAGTCCAGACCAGAGAATTAAAATATCATCCATAAACAATGAATATTTAAAGGTGTGGAATGAGCGTCAAATTCTCATAAAGAAATTTGAATTCAGATGGTTTGTATCAGGCTTTTATCCAGCATAAAACCTTGTATTTCAGACAACAGGGTTAAAAATAAGTGTATTGCTTTTCTCTTTTTAAAACTATGGTGATATGGGGTAATTTATGTAACTTTGAAGATTGGGAATTTCATATTTAGTGTATGTGATACTTTTTTTTTTCAGCTGTGAGCATCTCTGTTTAAAAAAGGTGTAATTCTGTACTGTTTGGGCTCTGCTGTTGTCCAGGAGTACCTGCCCGGACTGAACCTGGGAATTCCACACATCCCATTAATGGCTCTGGATGCAGCTAACTGTGCTCCACTACCTTTTTATGTCTCCATAAAAATAATTAGGCACTTGAACAGCAGTTGCAGTTTTTCTCAAGTGACTAATGTTGAGCTTTGAGAAGGAAGTTATCCCAAGGATTTATTTCTGTGGATAAATAATAGTTTTCCATGCAATGCCCTTGAGCATTGAGCATCCTTTTACCGTCCCTTATTCATTTCGGCAATTAGAGCTGCTCTCATTAAGGAGCCTCTCCGCTGAGCTCCTCTCCAGAGCTCTCCCAGTTGGCTCCCTCAGCTCTTCACAGGTTGGGGCCGTGGTTTCATCGGCAGCTCGAGGCGGGAGCCGTTCCTTCCCTGTGTGCCGGGTGGGATCCAACTGGGATGCTGTGCTGGCTCCCAAGGAACGGGGTGGGTGCCAGCTGGCCCACGAGGGGCTCAGCCCAACTGCTTCTCCAGCTCTGCTCCTGCCAGGCTGCCAGAGCTCAGCCCACGCTCCTCTTCCCCTTCCCTAATGAGAGGGAACGGAGCCTGGCTGCAGACGGGGTGGTTGCAACTGGGAGAACTGGTTTTGGTTGCAGTGGGATGGAGCTGCACAGCCCTGGCTGCTGGAGCTGTTAGTGGGGTGCACAGCGCTGCTTTTCAGACATTTCTGCTGTTATTTTCAGTCATTTTGATTTGTAAAGGCTTCCTCTCTCCCTGCCTGCTTTATTTATGAATGGAGAGAAGTCTTCCCTGTGCTTAACCATCCAAGTGAGTGAAATTTGGCTTTCAGTTTGCCTCCTCGAAGCCCCCATCCCGAGGCTCTCCCTGCTGGAGCAAACACCCAGTCATCTGTCGGCAAAGGTGGATTATTCCCTGGAATCACCAGCAGGTGCTGTGGGTGTAACACACCGTGGTTGCTCCCACGGCCCAAGTGAGGGATCTGAATTCCTGCAGGTAGATCAGAGGCAGGGGGTGATGTGCTGCAGTTAACGCCCCGCTCCGTGATTTCCTGTGTTCCAGGATGGCGTTCTTTCTGGAGGAGGTGATGACTTGCACCAAGCGTCTCCTGGAGGTGATATCTGGCTGGCTGCCTCGACATTTTTTCGGCGCAATCCTGGTTTCTCTCCCGGCTCTTGCAGTTTTTTCACACTTCACCTCTGATTTTGAAACAAATATACATGTAAGTTGTCGAACTCCGGTTCCGTAATGTGATGTTTTGGATGGAACAAAGCTTGCTGTTTGCCTGCCGCCTTCCTCCACCTCCCCGCGCTTTACATCTGTTTGATACGGATCCCTTGGAGGGAGAGGGCTTTGTGGATGAGGGAATTCCTGGTTTGTTATGTAAATACGGTCGCGGCTGCTTTGAAAACTCTCAGACAAAAGAGGAGAGCCAAACCTTGAAATGCCTGTGACTTACCTACCTTTTTTTTCTTAGACCAAAGCACTTCTGCAGGGGTTTATTCGAGACAGTGCAAGGAGTTTATCTCAGGCTTGTGGATCTAGGCTGGATTTGGAGTTTCTAGGTGGACGTGTTGTGTGGTTACTGAATCTCAGCAGTGAGAACAGTATTAGTGGTGGGTGTTTGGGCTTTGCAGAGTGAGATGGAGGAACTCAAAGGAGAGAGAGAGCTCTGAGTGCCTAGAAATGATCATTGCAGGAGCTATGGAAGTGGTCAAAGGAATGCAATACCTGCCTTCTGAAAAGGAACAGAAAGAAATGTGCATATTTAGCCCAGACACAGAGATCCACAGGGAATTTGATGTCTCTGTTAATGAGAGCATTCAGAAGGGGAGAACAAGGGGTTAAATATTCAAAGAATTTCACATAAATTCTGTAAATTCTGTGAATTTATAGAATCCCAGAATGGTTGGGGTTGGAAGGGACCTTAAAGGTCATCTCTTTCCAGCCCCCCTACCATGGGCAGTGATGAGAAGGGGGAAGAACAGTTTAATTTAAAGGCCAACTGTAGCATAAAATCAGGGCTTTAAAACTGTGAATAAAATGGCCTCAAACTAGAGATGAAAGTTTGTTTCTCTGCAAGTTTCTCTTCAGAGCACAGTGATCCTTTCCAGGAGCTTCAGGGAATTGCTTCACAAAGCTCCTCCTATTTCAGGGCTCTGGGTGTAGGTAATGGCCAGATCCTCCTCACTCTTCCTATCACAGCTTATTCCTGGCTTTTGGGAAGTGTTTGTTCCATGGGAACATGTGACCACGTGTTTTTTGGTCCTTGCTGATTTAAACACATATCCCGTGGTTATCACAGTCACAGGAGAGTGTGTTTGACATTCTGTTACATCCCATGTTTAAAACCATTCTGCAGCTTCCACCTTTTGGAACTTTGCTTAAGAATTTTTAAGCAGGAAATTTGTTTTTTGTTAGTTCAGTTTAATGATGGTCTTCCTCCTACATGATTATCAGTAAATCAGTTGTAGGAATGTCTTCTTTAAAGTGAAGGGACCCAAAAACCTTCAAATCTGTCCATTGGTTTTGATATCATCCCATTCATCACCATCCTTGATCATCTCTCCAAATGTTTAAAAATAATAAAAAATGTTAAAAACCTTTATTGGTGTGTTCTCAATACCTGTTCAGGACAGGCTGAGTCGAAACACTTGAGGCAGCAGCAGTAAAATGGTGATTTACATCACCAAACTGAGAATGAACTTTGCTTTCTTTCCTCTTGCAGGTCCTCCAGAGTCGTGGGGCTGTTGGCTCCCTCTCCAAGAGATGTCCCAACTCGGCTTGTGCTCAGTGTTTCCACACTCATGGAGCTCTAGGAAATGGAGTCAATCTATAGAGGGTCAGGTAAGTGTCCTATTTTACTATGACATGGTTTTGCAAAGTTTTTTTTTATTCATAGCATTTTATACCCTCCCTGGATATAAAATAATTAAAATGAAAATTAACAAAAAAACAGCCATTAAAAAAAAAAAAAACTTTCCAAAGCCATGCATCCATAGTAAAATCCAGCACATCCTGACCCTCTATAGGCTGGCTTCATGCTGGGGCATCACTTGGAGTGAGAACCAGTGCTCTGCCACTTTAGGAGACCTGAAATGGGGGGAAAAAAGTAAGTTTAAGTTATGGTTTTTTATGGACACTTCTGAAACTCCTTTTATCTGCTTTTGAGTCATTTCAAAAAACCAACAACTGTGCTTGTGGTTTAAAAATGGTAAATTATGTAAGGTTTTTTTCCCATACTCTGTGTCTGCTCTGAATCACATGTTTGTTTGTTGTGCTACAGGATTGCAGTGTCTGTGCTTCAGCTGTACAGGAAATGTAAAATTAAAAAAAAAAGAGATTATTAATGAAGAGATTGTTATTAAAAATAAAAGAAAGGGAGAGAATGATCATTTCATGCTGTAAAACGCAGCATAAAGCTAGAACAGAACTCCCTAATGCAAGTGTGGAGTCTCTGTTTTAGCTTGGATGGTCATGAATATTCTTGTTAAAACCAAAATTGGCACATCAGCCTGAGAGTTTTGACCACTGTAGGATTGTATCTCAGGGACACGAAGGTGTTCTGGGCAATGTGTTTTCTGATAAAGTTGTGGGAAAGGGATCAGGCATTTGGAACAGAAAATGTAAAATTGTCCTTGCAAATTGGCACAAGTGGTCGTGTCACAAAGTGTCCATTGACAATGACCAATACCTGCCTTTTGTTGCCAAGGCAGATCTTTTCTTTTCAACCTGAGTTCCCCTGTTGCTGATCAGTGTGAAGTGTTTTTAAAAACAGGCAGGTGGGTGAAGTTGCATTCCACATTTTCAGTGCAGAGGAACTTTGATATTCAGTTTAAAACAGACAGGATCTAACCCCAGCAGTGGAGTGGAGGTTGCCCTGAATATTTACCTTTTTTTAAAATGTTATTTTGTTTTAACAAGAAGAGGCACTGAGCTTTTTGCAAAGGTAAGCTGGAGGCATTGAAAGTCGCTGAAATAACTGTGTCACGCAGTGATACAAAACTCCACCCAGGGGAAACTACCAGGGTGGCCAACTACCTGTGCTAAAAATTGTCTTGCCCTTGGAAGGGAAGATGTCCATCTTCACGTGCTGACTCCTGATGCACCATAACACAGATGGAATCAGACCCTTCTGCTCCCTGTGCCCCTTTCTCCCTGGCGTTGGTGCCCGAGGGCGCCGGGCAGCCGCTGACTCGCTCTCTCTCTCTGTTGCAGTACACCATGTTCATGTGTTGTGCCATTCTCATCACCATTGTGCAGTACTGTAACTTCTGCCAGCTCAGCTCCTGGATGAGATCCCTGCTGGCAACTGTGGTGGGAGCAGTGCTGCTCATCCTGCTCTACGTCTCCCTGTGCCCGGACAGGTGAGTGTCCCCCCAGCCCCGCACGCTCCGCGCCAGGGGAACGTGGTCGGGGTCCTGCACCACTGCAGTGAGGATCTGGTGCACAGGATTGTACCACCTGCCGTGACTTTCTCCACCACCTCAGCTTCAGTAATTTTATTTCTGCGTCGTTTATTTTTTCTAAGGTTTTCAGGATGGTGCCTGAGGGCCCTCTCCTGTGTGACACTGTCCTCACCTCGTGTGCTTCAAGGGCACTTGTATGTTATCAGGCCCATAGAATTGCCTTTTACCATTCCTTTGATAATCTGTCTTATTAAGGAGCTTCCCAGGTATTTGGTGGTGCCAGAGAGCCCAGATGTTCCCCCACACCTCCCTGGATTTATTTTTGCCCTTAGGAACCGTGTGTTTTTCTTCCACCACCTCCCTCAATGCACTGGTTTCATTTCTCACTTTCCTGCCTTTTCAGAGGATGCTGCAGGACAGTAACCAGGAGAATCAACATAATGCAGCTTCTGTGCAATAACCCCAAGTTATTTCAGTTTTCCTCTGATAAGCAGTTTTCCCCAAGGAGATATTGTTTGTAGTATTCTCCTGTTTTCTTGCCAAGAGAGTCAAGGGGGTCTTTCCAGCCTTCCACTCCTATTGGCAAAATTTTATAATTTACTTGCACTTCTCATTGGCTTAAGACCTCTCAGAGCCTTTGGCTCTCCTGGGATGGACTTTGCAAGGTCTTCTGCTAGATCAGTCTAGTTCCTCCTCTTCTTCAGAGACCTGCTGTATCATATGTTGAAAAACATGAAAAAAACCCCAAACAAACCAGAAAGAGTTGGCAGATATATGTTTTATGTGAGTATTTAGCTTTAATCCCCTCTTGAAGTATCTTCAGTAGGTACTTTTAATCTTGATTTAATTTATATTAAAAAAAGGGGGAGCATAAAGGTCACCCCTTACAGCTGTTCACAGCTGTGATTTGGAGGTGGCTGTAAGGGTTGTGGGAAGAAAAATCTTTCCTTTGAAAAAAATAACAGAGCTGGAGTTAGTTGACAAATGATTTCTAGGTCATACTGGACTAAAGAAAAATCCCTTTCTTGTCAGTCTGCAGAGCACTCAGGCAAGGAGGGCAGGACAGTTCTTTCCAGCCTCAGTGGAGGGAAGGAGTGTCTGAGTTCTGGAGACTCCCCTTTCTCCTCATGGATTTGTCCCACTGGGTTTAGGTTCCCTGTGTAGCCAACACTGTCTGTCCTCCAGCACTGAACAGGAACTCCCAGGAACAAAGATGACTTTCTCCCATAGCTTTTCCCTTGGTGGCACTGATGCTTTCACTGGCCAGCCACCAGCTTCACTGAGAGCCGTGGAATCACAGAATCCTTTAGGTTGGAAAAGCCCTCTTGAGATCATGGAGTCTGACTGTTCCCAGCACTAACCATTTCCCAAGTGCCACATCCACGTGGCTTTTAAATCCCTCCAGGGATGGGGACTCCACCACTGCCCTGAGCAGCTGTACCAGGGCCTGACCACCCCTTCCATGAGGAAATTTTCCCAATATCCAACCTCAACCTCCCCTGGCACAACTTGAGGCTCTTTCCTCTTGTCCTGTCCCTTGTTCCCTGGGAGCAGAGCCTGACCCCCTCAGCCCCAGGTTTGGTTTTTCAGGGAAGTCAGTGAAGAGCAAACCCTTGATGCCAGTCCTTGACTCCCTGGTTACTGTTCCATAATTCCCCAGGCAGGAGTTCTTGCAGCTCCTTCAGCTCCACACGTGCTGGGGTGTCTGCACAGAGCTGACATGACACAGCCACCTTTGAAAGAGGGTAATAGAATATACTTGTGCACAAGCTCTGTGTTAGGACTTTGTGCAGAAAGAAACACAAAACTGGGGGTTTTCACTGCCTTTCAACTTTATTAAGGGATGGGGGAAGGCTGTTCCAAAGCACAGAAGTGGAGGCCTTGCTGTGGTGTGAGTTCACAGCATCAGCTTTTGCTGAGTGCTGGAGGGGTTCTGTGAATGTTGAAAAACCATTATCTTAAGAAATGTTGCTAATGATAGTGTTCTTCCACCTCAGATCTGAAAAGGTGCTTGATAGAAGTTTTCCTGAACAAAACTAATACAGGCTGAATTAGTGAAACCCATAAATTCTGTTTCTTAATATTCATCTTTTTGTTCCTCTCTTACCATGAATCTGGATAATATTTTTTGTCACAGTGGTTGTTGCAGCTTTGTCTGCACCACAGATGGATCCATCCTGCATGTTTCTTTACTTCTTTTAAAGATGTAACTAACCCTGAGAATTTGATACTCTCTTAATATTTGAAAAAGTACGCGAACTACTTATTTCCTGTAATGGCATCTTCAAAAAAACCTGTGTTTATTAGGCATTTGTTTGTTTGTTTGTTTGTTTGTTTGGAGCAGTTGGGGTTTGGGGTTTTGGGGTTTATTTTTAAAATCTTTGTACTGTGTGCTCAGATAAGATGAAGGCATAACCAAGTTTTAGAGTTCTGAGATTGCTCCTCCCTGTTTCCCAGGTAAGATGGGATTGTTTAACAATTACTCACTCCAGGAACCATCAGTTTCCCTTTGCAGGGATTTGCATCTCTGGCTGGTTCCTTCTTTTGAGCCAAAAGAGCAGAGAAGTCGTGTTCAAACAAAGATTTTTGAAGCTGATCAGGTGTGTGGTGCAGTTATTGGCCCATATAACAGAGCAGTTTAACATTCTCTCTGAAATTCTGCAGGATGGTTTGTTTATTGCTTTAACCTCCCCTCTGAAATCAGTGCTTTTTTTAATTTCAGCTCCATGGAAACTCCTCATCTAGATTTGGCACAGAACTTTAGGTAAGCTTTATATAAACTTACTATCTTTATGTTTAGGGATGGAAACATTTTCAGTGAATTATATGTAGCAAGATTTTGCATCCACAGTAATAGCTTGGGAGTTCAACAAATTGGTTCAGCAGGTTGCGTTTAAGCTCTTCATATGTGTAATTTCCTTTACAGGGGACTTGGGTATGACCAAAACTCATCAGAGCTGATGCTGCAGTCAGAGTTGTGTAATGATATTTTCTCTTTAAATTGGATTTCTAGGAAATAGAACTGTGGAGGAGCTCTATAAAACAGCATCTGTTTTTCTGGTAGTAGCAGTTTTTAGAGCATTATCTGTACATCACAAGCTGTTTATTTGGTTCACTTGGCTTGTTTGCACCATTCAGGAGCAGTGTGAGTTGGATGCTCCCACAGCTGGACGGGGGAGAATTCCCCGTGGGAGAGGAGCTTCTGCTGGAAAAGCTGGATGTGCAGCCAGGTGCCTTCCCAAGATGAGATGTGACAGTCTGGGACTGGCTGTCACCTCTGCTCACCTGGGCAGAGCAGCAAAAGAAAATTGAGAGCAAAGGAAAATTTTAGCCCCCAGACTTTCAAACAATCAAACAAAAATCTCTTCCTGGGTTATTAATGGCCCCTTAAAAATGAACACGTTAAAGATTCACTCTGATTATTTCAGTGTTGAATTTCTCATGGGTTTTATTGCAAGTTTTGCAATACCATTTTTAAAGTGTTTTTACTTGTCTTTGGTATTAGATAATTATGTGTTTGCTAATGACAAGTTTGGGGACAATACTGGGGTCATGCTGTGCTTGACTGAACTACTAACCCTGTGGGTATGGGACTCAGTAATTCATCTCAAATGGGTTTTCAGGAGCATGATGCCTTTCCTGGGAGTATGTGTCAAAAAAAAATTACTTTTTAAAACCTGTCATCTCCATGAATTCTGTGATAGTGGGGAAAACACGTGGGTTTAGTACAGAGAGATGGCAACTGGGCTTTCACATTAGGTGTTTCTTCACCAAAGAGTCAGCACTTCAGTGTTGGGGTTTGGGGGGCTTTGGGTTTTCTTACACGGGTTTTCTTTCTTCATGGCTTTGATTCATAAAGGTGACTTCATTTTCACAGCAGAATTCCAGTTCACTGAATCCAGAATGGAAATTTAAAGCCAAAAGAAGAGACAGCTTGATTTTTTTTATAAACAAACTCTGCAAGGAACTTGCTGTAAAGGCAATGAACAAAGTATTAAAGTGTGGTGATCACTCCAATAATGTCTTAGGATCAGTCCAGGTTTGGATCCTTAGTGGTTTATTATTAGTTTGTGAAATCACCAAAGCTCTTGTGCTGCTCAGAATTACAAACCTCTTCCCCAACAGGCTCCCAACCAGCTGTTAATCACTACTAAGTAATTCATCCTGCCTTAAATCATTAACAACCAGGTCTTCCCCTCGATGACAGAAATCTGTGAAAAAATCAGTTATCAAGCATACAAGTATTTTTCTTCCATAAATACACAACTTTTAAGTCACTACAGGTGAAGGTGAGAGTTGGTGAGAGACCAAACCACGGATGTCACCGAGCAGGCGTGGAACGGGCTCTGCCTCTGTGCAAAGTCTGACTTGGGATTTAAAGGCCAAATAAGGCAGTGACCAAAAGATCTCGTTCATTAAACATTTCTAAACCTAATTTTACACTTTTCCTTTGGAGGTGTGCTGGGTTTGTATGTTGTCTGTGCTCCTTTATTTGGGGAAGAGACACATGTGCATGAGCTAATACTGCTTAGCACTACCCCTCAGTCCAGGCTCCACTGGACCTGACGCTGCCTAAACTTGTAAATTAACAAGTATTGGAAGTTAAAAGAGAGAACTGGGAGTTAACCCTGTTCTGTTTCTACCATTAAACAGAATTTGGCTTCTTTTTCAGGGCTCTTTTACTGTACATTATTGTGTACCACATTTCTCGAGTGCTGTGCGGACAGAATCTCCCCTTTTCCTGGTGATGGACTAATAAAAAGGTGAAACTCCCTTATCCTCACACACTTTTTTTTGCAGCACCTTTCTCATGGAATTAAAAAAATCAGGTTCTTTTCTCACCCCAGTCACTGCAAAAGCTTTCCTGTGTTCTGAGAGGGCCAAACAAAGTTATGTTTTGCCTTTAATGAGGTTGTTCCCTTTCCTTGATCAAGAATCAAGATAATATTAATCTGCCTAGGAGGAGAGACACTAGCAATGGTAATAAAGTCTTAGCACAAAGTTAATCTCTGGATTGTCCATTAATCAAAATATGGAATCTGCCTTGTTTTCCAGACAGCCAAGTTGTTCAGCCCAAAGGATGCAACCGTAAACTTTGTCTTTTAAGCAGGAAATAGTTCCCATTTTCATTCATTCCTTACCTCAGAGCAGGTGGGGGGTATTGTTTTCCACTGTGGCTGCTTGAGGAGGATCAGCAATAGGGAGGACTGAAATCTCTTGGTTGTAGGGAGGGGTTTATAGGCATCAGTAACACTTTGTTCATTGAAAGCAGCACTTTGATCCCCTTTTCCTCTCCATTCCTCTACTGCATTCTTCTCTCAGATTCAGCAGGCAGGCATCCTCCTTAGATATAGCAAGATATCCAAATCCAGACAGGGGTTACTGGCTCAGAAGCAAACTGGCTTTCCAAAACTATAAGTGGAAAGCCATTATCTTTGTGATTTGTGATCGAGATCCTATCTCTGGAGCTCTCACTTGTTCCATATTCACACAGCCTGGATGGAGGTGCCAAGTTAATAGTGAGGTGGCTGTGCCAGGCAGCACTTCACCAGTTTGAGTTAAAGGAACTAAGATTTCAATTTGAATGACTTCTAAAATTCATTTTCTGCTGCGGCAGCTCATAAAAAAGTAGAATTTGAGGAGGGAGGTGATCCTTTCTGTTAGAGCTGTGGGGTTTTTTTCTTCTTTTCATTCTAAAGGGTGACTCCAGGTCATCACTGCTGACTGACTTGTGAGGTGATTTATAGTCCTGTGGGTCCTGTAGCCTGCTCACTGGGACACCCAGAAATTTGCTTTGCAAATGAGGACGACGTAATGGCTCTCTGCTCCAGGCTGGAATCAGGGCTTTCCATACTGATGCTTCCAGCAGTCCCAGCGGGATAAAAACGCCTGCTCTGGAGAAGACTCTGCACCTTCTTTTTTGGGATCCCAACCCATTCCTTATTAATGAAATCAGGTCAGAGAACAGTGAGTCACTCCCTGCACATGGAGATCTCCGGGTTGGAGCCCACATGGCAAAGAGGGTCAGGCTGGTGCTGAGGAGGTGATTGAGAGCTCACAGATGCCAGAGCTTCAGGAATGGGCAATGGGAGGCAGCAGGTCCTTCCCAGAAAGCAGGTCGTGCCTTCCACTTCTCCTAATGTACCATTTGTGGCTCTCACCTAATTCATTGGAGAGGAGTTAAAGTACTTTGAGGAGTGTTTTGTACAACAAAGTGTAAATAAAAAGCCTTTAGTGACTGAAATAAATCCCTGTGGCGGGGATGTCTGATGTTACAGAGGATTATCTGGATCAAACTTGTACTCTCAAAGGAGTAACATAATCATTGCTCAGATCCTCTCACAGGTCTCTGCCCACAAGATGCAGGAAATAACAAACTCAGATTCTGAAAAGAACATGAATTGTTTTTCTTAAACAAGATCCTTTCCCCAACCTTTTTTTTTATTTTCCAAGATCTTTTCTCTCACTTACCCTCCCCTCATTTTGTTTTATAAGCCCGTCAAGCTGGGAGGTTATTTTGCCACCTGCAAAATAGGTAGCAAGGATTGTATTTCAGGAATTGTTCCCATTCTAGACATTAATTATAGAATCATTTAGGCAGGAAAAGACCCCTAAGATCAGGGAATTGTAGAATATCCTGAGTTGAAAGGGACCAACATGGATCATCAAGTCAACCACTAACCCAAGACTGCCAAGACCACCACTAAACCATGTCTTTGGCTTAGTCTCTGACTTGTCTTTCAAGGGAGGAAATAATTAGGTTCATAACAGAGGATCTGTTGAGAAAAGTAGCTGTAAGTTACAGGAAACCGATGGTGGGGACCTACTTTGAGCTGGGCATATCTCCTCCTTTCATTGTTCCCTCCTGAAGAGGGAATAAAATGAACATACCTTCCCTTCTCCTGGGAGAAGCATATTCACGGTAGAAAACAAAAGGAGTAATTTCCAGTATAATATGTTGTCTTATCTTTAATCTGAAATCCAATCTGCACACTCTGTATTGCAAATATTTTACTTACAGGGAGCTCTTTTCCCTGTAGAAACAAAGACCACGGCACAGAGAAATGTTTTCAGAGATGGGGCACGTTCATCTGTTCCACAGCTGTGCTGTGGTTTTGCTTCGTTACACTTTTCTGTCAATCCAGAATTTGAGAATGAAACTCAAAAAAAGAAACCGTGTCTCTAATAAAGCTCAGTTCTAAAATATTTCCAAAGTGGAAGCCTGTCCCCCATGAACAGAGAGAAAGAAAATGAGCTGAGAAATGTTTTCATGTGCTCTAGGAACAAATTCAGCCTCCTTCTTCTTGAGCTGTTGCTCCAGTTGTGCTCTGAGTTTTAAACTCTTCATACCTTCATAAAGAAATGGAGGCACTGAGCTTGGATTGCCTTTCTGGTTCTCAAGGAGAAAGGTTTGATGTGACACTTTCCCTTAAAAAAAACATCTCTTAACTTGGAAAACTTCAGCACATGTCTGCTCATATCAAATCTTAAACTTTGGCATAATGTTATACAAAAAAATGCAGTTGGGTGCCTGCAGAAATGACTGGGTGCCAAGCTGTCTGGGTTTAGCCTTGGTTTCTAGGATTACATAGGTGGGGCCTTCTCAGATTCAATTTGTGTCTTTGCCTCTCTCCAGAAAGTTGAGATTGTAGAGTGCAGATGTCTCCTCGTCAGGGGCGGTTTGGCACTGGCAGATGCTCCATCAGCGCTTCATGATCTGCACAGGCAGGCGACAAACTGTCGAAAGGCTCTGAAATATTGCTCTCAATCTCTGTGAGACAGGAGTTTTTTATTATTTTATGTATTCTTGGCACTTTGAGAAACTTTCTGTCTCCACCATGAAGAGCCTCAGCGGTTTTATCATAGAAAAGATGTCAGCCCAGAGCTCCATACTCTCCACTTCCATGCAGTTCATAGAACCACAGACTGGTTTGGGTTGGAAGGACCTAAAAGATCATCTCATCCCAACCCCCTGCCATGGGGGTTCTCCATGACCTGTTTTGTGCAGTGTTACCTTCTTCCAAACCCTTCATGTGTAGCGTTAAAGGCACACAGCAAAGGTCCTCTTGATGAAGAGATGAGGAAAAGGCACAAGGAACATAAAGCAGATGTTTCTGAATATTGGAGGTAATTCAAAAAGAGGTAAATCCCACAAAACTCACACACACCCCCTCCGTACAGAGGGCACATACCCACAGACATGCACATACCCACAGATATCTGAACACACTAGACATTATTAATTATTATTAAACATTGTATATGCATATTTACATGTATGCTTTTAGTTATGTATTTAGGTATAACGATACCTGTTTCCTTGGTGAAGTCCTTAAAACAGCACTGGGCGACTTCCATGGTGCTGAACCTGACGGTAAGGAAATCATCACTTGTTTAAGAATGAAATTAATTCTTCGGTGTTTTCTTAACAGCAGATGAAGTTCTCAATGCATATTTTATAATTCAGTGTGTAACTGCACTTCCCACACTTCTTTTTCCAGCACAGGATTTCTGTCTCCGGAGCGGCCATGGCAGTGCCCTGACTCTGTGGTTTTAAATGCCCCTGTCTGTTTTTCCCTCTCTCCAGCTCCAGGAAGAGCCCATGCAACAGCTCGGTGCCAGATGACACCAAGAGGCCGGCAGACCTGATTGGTCAGGAGGTGGTTCTGGTTTCCTTCCTCCTGCTGCTCCTGGTCTGGTTTCTGAACCGAGAGTTTGAGGTCAGCTACCGCCTCCACTACCACGGGGACGTGGAGGCCGATCTCCATCGCACCAAAATCCAGAGCATGAGGGATCAAGCTGACTGGTTGCTGAGGAATATTATCCCATACCACGTGGCTGAGCAGTTGAAGGTGTCCCAGAGCTATTCCAAAAACCACGACAGCGGCGGGGTGATCTTTGCCAGCATAGTGAACTTCAGCGAGTTCTACGAGGAGAACTACCAGGGGGGCAAGGAGTGCTACCGAGTCCTGAACGAGCTCATCGGGGATTTCGACGAGCTGCTGAGCAAAGCCCACTACAGCAGCATCGAGAAAATCAAAACCATCGGGGCCACCTACATGGCGGCGTCGGGGCTGAACACCTCGCAGTGCCAGGACAGCAGCCACCCCCACGGGCACCTGCAGACCCTGTTCGAATTTGCCAAAGAAATGATGCGGGTGGTGGACGACTTCAACAACAACATGCTGTGGTTCAATTTTAAGCTCCGAATCGGCTTCAACCACGGCCCCCTCACGGCCGGGGTCATCGGCACCACCAAGCTGCTGTACGACATCTGGGGGGACACGGTGAACATCGCCAGCAGGATGGACACCACCGGCGTCGAGTGCCGCATCCAGGTGAGTGAGGAGAGCTACCGCATCCTCAGCAAGATGGGGTATGACTTTGACTACAGGGGGACGGTCAACGTGAAGGGCAAGGGTCAGATGAAGACCTACCTTTACCCCAAATGCATGGACAACGGGATCGTGCCGCATCACCAGTTGTCCATATCTCCAGACATTCGGGTGCAAGTGGATGGCAGCATTGGGCGGTCTCCCACCGACGAGATTGCCAACCTGGTGCCTTCTGTACAGAATTCTGATAACATAGCCCATGGCACAGATAACTCAGAAAACAAGGACATCCCTCCTTCTGCCAAGAAGCTCCAGAAAGACACGGTGAAGGCAGAGGAGAAGTGCAGGTTCGGCAAAGCCGCGGAGAAGTCTGACTGTGAGGAAGCGGGGACTGAGGAGGTCAATGAACTGACAAAGCTAAATATCTCTAAGAGTGTATGATGCACTGTCAGAGTTGCATGAAGTGCTCTGTCCATAGAAACACACTGACTTTTGCAATTGGCAGTTTTCTTTTTCAAGAGAGACCTTCTCCACACCTGGGTTGTACGTTTGTGTTCATTTCGGCACCTGGGGCTGTGTGGATCACAGCTCCTCAGGGCTTCTTTCCATCCATCTCTCTCCTTCATGCCCCAAATCACATCTCAAGCTCCCCAGCTCCCTGTGCAACCATCTTACAGCTGAGTAGAGGATATTAAGTGCCTTCAGATATACTCCATTGGACTCCCTGTCAAGGTACAGAGGCCCCAAGTGAAATCATAGCTTTGGGTATTTATCTAATTTTAAAGAAAAGAAAAGCTGTGGTTATATCATTTTTATTGTTGTTTCTCACAAAACACTTTTTTTGGCTAATGCAACTCCTTGGGTTTTTTATATCTCTCGGAACAATGTTTTACTGTTATCAGACCTTTTGTATGTAACACACAGACATGTGCATGTATCTACCATATGAGACTGCTATAAAGTGCCAGTAATGCACCACAAGAATGTCTGGGCGAGGGGTGACACACTTTGGGTCGGGCTGGAGGAGGAGTCGTGCCGTGGCTCAGCCTTTAGTTAGGGCAGGAGGAACAGCTGCTGCAGTTCTGTTCTCCTTTACCGATGCTTTCTTCAGCCTCCACGTGCCATCGTGTGCTTTGGATACACTTCTTTTCCATATAGCCAATGAGTTACTGATGTGTGGGAGTGGAATAAGGGTTGGGACAGCACCAGCTCTCGGGACAGGTTTCCAGAAGCAGACAAGAGACCGTGGGAGTGTTGCAGTTCAGGGCTCACGACTCCAACGCCGTTCGGGGTTGCTCCGTGCGTGGCTGAGGTGGCCAAGGTAGGTGACGTCAGTGTCTCTGAGCTGATTGGAGAGAGAGAGAGAGAGAGAGAGAGAGGAAAAAAAAGCAAAATAAATGTTTTGGGAATGCCTTTATTTATTTATTTATCTATTTCATTCCTGTTTGGCTTTTTTTTATTTTCTTTCCTTTGGGGATTTTCGTGTGCGGAAGGGATCAGGAGAGATGGTTCGTGGGTTGGTTTAACGGGAGTAATAAGATGGTGTTTCAGCCTCTTCGAGCTACCAACCACTGTGAGGATGTTACCTTAGGCAATATTTGTTTCCAAGCTGGAGACACTTCAGAAGCCACCAAACGCAGTTGAGTATCCCAGCTTCCCTCTGGACTGAACCAATGGTGCTGCACAATACTTTTCAGGATTTCCCCCCCCACACACTGTGCTTTTGCAGCAGGGAACAGGCCAGCGTGCTCCCTGCGTGCCACTGGAAGCGGGAATGGGGAAAGAGTCCTTGTAGTGAGCTGAGAAGCACAATCATCTCCCAGTCCTGGGGGTGACTCCCTGCAGTCCCTGGGAGCGGGGCCTGCGTGAGCACAGGAGCTGCTGGCACAGAGGGAGCTGTGGGATGGGTGCCATGGGCTGTGCCAGTCTGTCCTCTGCTTCCCTCACCTCCTTCACTGATGTTTGATAATATGGGCTATTCAACTATTCCCGTTCAGCCAACTCCTTGTGACACCAAAAAAACAATTTTTATGCCCAAAAGAAGTTCATCAGCCAGGGAAGAGCTGGGGGAGGGCAGTGCTGCGCTGGCTGCCTGGTGCTGTGGGCTTTGATTCTTTCCATCTGAACTCAAGGCAGAATATATTGATTCTTCTTCTTATCCCTGTGTGATTTTTGGGATATGAGTAATAACTGTATCCATTGTGGAGTTCCTGTTCAGCTGCTGGAGAGCCATCTCCTCTCCATGGTCAGCATGGAGCCCTTGAAGCCTTTCTCAGATGTAAATCTGTGGGATTTCTGGACCTCAGTTAAACAGGGCTCTGCACACTGGTCCCACAAAAGCTGCTGTTTATGCACATCAGTATTCCATTTGATAGGAAAGCTGTTCAGAATTCGTCTTGCTCAATCTGCCAGCACACAAAAATCCAGGGGATCCTCATCCTGGGATCCCTCTGCCACAAGTGCTGTTGCCTGTTTGGAGGCTATTCCTGACGAGCAGCAGCGTGAGGTGTTTGGAGTGCACAGTTTTCCAGCAGCTTCCTTCTCCCTAGGTTACAACTCCCCCCTCCCCAGAGTGAGTTGCACTTCCAACTTTCAGGTAGTAATTCTGCAAATACCTCTTGCATCCGAAGAATGTATTCCTGAAGCATTTCTGGGGCTCTTGGTTCAGTTGAGGTGTGTCAGTATTCCTTTTCCTACAGTCGAGGAGCTGACATGGTCCAGAACTGTTTACATGCCTTCCAGTGTTATATTTTTGTTCTCAGAGTTGTTCCAGCCTCTCTCCCTGCCTCTTCTTTCTCCCCATTTTATAGAGCCTGGCCATTCCTCCTCTCTCCCTGCTCAGCTGTTTCCAGTGGCAGGGCTCAGCCGGGACGTGCTGGCTCCTTGAGACGCTGCACAACAACCAAACCTCCCCCAGCCCCAGCCCTGCACCCCGGGACAGGTTGGCATCTTGTGGTTAAACCCAAAAGGAGGAGGTACTGGAGTGGGGCCCTGGACCCAGAGCACCTTCCTCCTCATCCTTCAAGCACTGCAGGTGCAAAACCCTTTTCCTCCAGCCTATAAAGTGCACAATGTTCCTGTGCTGCCATGGGGGGGCCGCGGGGGGATCGTTGGGTTTGTGGGAACATCGGGAAACCAAAATACAACCCAGCAGGGCCTCTTTGTGTTGGCACTGAGCAAATACAGGGACCGAGGACAGGGGCATTAGTGGGCTCTGAAATCAAGGGCTGTTGTCTGCTCTGGGAACTGCCAGCAACATTCCTCTGCCTTAACTCTGGAGCTGGGAAAAGAGTTGTAAAACCTTGGGTGAGCAGTGGTGCCCCGTTTGCTCCTTGCCAGGGCAGCAGCGAGGTTTCCACAGCTGGGGCTGCGGCTCTCGGGGGTTAAATCTCTCACAGCCAAACCAAGAGGTTCAGTTCTTGGTGTGTAATTTGGAGAGGGACATTTTCCAGGCACAAAGAGCCAGGAGCCACCTGTTTCGGTTCTGGGAGCTGAACCTTTACACCTTCCCTTTATGCCTTTGAAGGTACGTCCTAACACAGAACCGACTCCGGGGGTGTTCTCAGCGGGATGTGCGGCTCTGCTGCCGAATTCCTGGCACGCCTGTGCTGCTGGGAGGCCACGGGCAAAGCTCACTTTGTTAAAATCCCTGTGTGTGCTGTGGGTGCCAGCACAGAGCTGTCAGTGAACGGGGAGGGCTTTGCCCAGAGGTTTGGTGAAGGTTTAAAACTGGTCCAGAGGAGGAGGTTGGGAAGGTTGCCGAGTGTTTAAGATCCCCGTGTCCCCTTCTGCCACTTGCAGGACCTACTCTGGAGCGTGGAGTAACGAGGAATACACACAATACTGTCAGCAGGGAGGTCTGAACCTGTTGCTAACACACCAAAATGCTTATTTTCCTCCCAGCTGAGAGATTTCTCATTGAGGAGCAGGTAAATGGCATTCCCGTTGATTTCTGTCTGGCATCATGATTTTGAGGAGGATGGATTTGCCTGTTATTTCCCAGGATTTGGGGCCATTTTCCTTTGCTGGAGGTAACGTGAGCACTGCAAGCAGGGTGTGCCGGTGCTGCTGCTTGGCTGTGGCTCCTGCTGTGTCCCAGGAAGATTTTGGAGTGATAAAATGAGAGGAGGAGAGGATGGATTCCCCAAAGGCTTTACAAAACACATCAGTATTTGGATAATGTTACTTTAGGGCTAAAACATAGAAAGGAGATGCCTGGATCAAAACTGAAGGGAGCTACAAACCAAACACTTAACCATGGCAGCTTGAGCTAAAGAGGAGCTTATTCCTGAGCAAAAAAGCCAAACTTTTAGGGTTTCCAGCATCTTAAAATTGATAACTTTGACCTGTTTTAAAGCTTTTTTCCTGAATACAGGAAAAAGTGTTGTAAGGGAGCAGTTAAGTCACTCCATGTCTTCATTTTGCAACATCTCAGAGGCCGAGGGCGCCTGTGTTGGCTGTGATGCCGTCGATGTTTAACTCGGCACCTTGTCTTGAGGGGTTTTTGTCCAAATTTAAGGACTCTGCCTTGTTTTCTCCCTTATTCCCTGCTGTGGTCTCATTTGCTCTGTCTGGACAGGACACAGGAGTGGCTGTTGCCTCCCATCTCCTCACCTGTGGTGACCTCTGTCTTCTCCTCACTGCACGGAGCATCTGAGCTCTGCCGCTGCCGGTCACGGCTCCGGGTGCTGCTCTCCCTGCTGGCGCCTCTCTGTGTCCTCATGGAAAAGGGAGAGTGGTTTTGCTTTGATATCTCGGTCCATTTTGCCCAGTCACAGCTGCAGCTTCCTCTTCATGGCGGTGACAGAAGAGCAGCAGACACGTCCCAGCAGTTAAATTTAGGAATTAACTGCTAAAAAGGCAGTTGTTATTTATTGATGTGATTTTCCCAGTTGCTGGAAATGCCACTGTAAGTACAGAATGACTTGTGTGTGGAAACAGTAGAGGTGGAGGTTCAGGGATCCCCCAGTGCCTTGGTGCTGCTGTCTCAATGCCCAGGCAGCTGTGAAAACCCAGTTGGGGTTTCAGAGTAATGCTGAGACTTGACTGGCTACGTGGGGAACATCAGTTTGGGCAGGAAGGTCATTTATTCCAATGGTTTTTGACCTGTTGAGTTCTCTCTGCAGGCTGTAGCAGTCCTTGTTTTGTTTCCTAGAGGTAAAACCTGGGTTGCTGAGGCTGTGCCGTGCATGCAGCTGCCGTGGGATTCTGCAATATCCTGTAAAAAAGGTGGAATTTGTAGCCACTGCCCAGCAGTTCCTGCAGGTGCTGTAGCTGGGAGAGCTGTGATGGGCTGACTGTGTTTCAGTTCAGAGCCGTGGGTAGGACTCGGTGCCACGGTGGGGTTGGCTCACCAAGAGCCTCTGGATGGTCACGTGTGTTTCCACGTCCTGGAGCTGAGGAGACGAGGAGAAGGGATCATGGAATGAGGTGTCAGGTGGTTCCAAAGGCTAATCTGTATTTCCAGGTGTGATGTCTGTGCCTGGTGGCTGCAGGGGAGGTATCTCAGGTGTGAAGCTGAGCTGTGTTTGTGCACCAAGGTGCCTTAAAATAGGCTGATTTTATTAAAATCTGCATTAACACCACCCTCTGAACTCTGTCCACAGAGTTTCATTGGTGAAAATAGCACACCAGGAGCTTATTGCCCTTATGAGATTTTCTTTTAAAATCAAATGTCAGGCTCTGAAGAGGTTGGAGGAGAAAATAAAACAGGTGGAATGTGTCTTGTCTTAGGGGCGCAGTTTGAGGGTGCCGTGGTGAGAAGGTTTGAGGTGCTTTGTGGACACGGGGTAGAAATATTGTGCAAATATTGGGTATAAAACCTTTTCCAAGTCTTTATGATGTGAGCTGAACATCTGTCTCAACCCTGATGAGTAGCTGGGCCGTACAACACGTGCAGAACTGTTTGCTGCTCATCTTCAGGAGTCAATATTGGCTTGGGAGAAAGAAGATTAGCTTGGAAAAAATAGATTGGTAGAAGATATTTAAAGCTTTTTTTTTCCCCTGGTCCGTTATTGTAGCCGTTAAACTTTTTCTGCCCTGACCAAGCTGCCCAGCCTGAGGCTGGTGAGGGGCAGGAGGCGGGTGCCTGGTGTCTTCCCACACTCTGCTCCAGAGTTGGAGTTTGACATCCTTTTCAGGAGCTTTCCCATGTGCCTGTCTCCAAGTCAGAGGTCAGTGTCGCTGGTCTTTCACACTTCTGCTCTCAGCCTCTCCTGTCATGCCTTGGCATGGTTTGCTCCATTCTCTCCCTGTTTTCTGGCTCACTGCAATAATTTCATAGAATCCTGGAATGGTTTAGATTGGAAGGGACTTTAAAGC